AAATGGGAAATGGAAATAGGGTTGACCTGGCTGTGGGTAGGAGGCGGCAGCGAGCACGGCATCCGAAACGCTGAGCGCGCGAGGTCATGGCGGCACCGTTTTCAGTGACATCGCCACATTACATTCAAACTAAACTTTTTATTTCACCACTGAGCTACAGGCTTTTTTTCAGAAGCTACCTGGCCACAGATGATCGCTCAACCAAGTGGCTTATGTGGGCATTTATAGCAGTCAAATACTCTGAACGCGTGTTTCTAAATGTGGAGGGACAAACCGGAGAACCCGGAGAAAAATCCACGTGACCGCACGGGGAGAAAGACACGCAAACTCCAAATATAGAACATGCATTAGGGTCGGGATCGAACTTACGAACTCCTGTACAGTGAGGGAAAAAGTATTTGATCCCCTGCTGATTTTGTACGTTTGCCCACTGACAAAGAAATGATCAGTCTATAATTTTAATGGTAGGTTTATTTGAACAGTGAGAGACAGAATAACAACAACAAAATCCTGAAATACGCATGTCAAAATGTTATAAATTGATTTGCATTTTAATGAGGGAAATAAGTATTTGACCCCTCTGCAAAACATGACTTAGTACTTGGTGGCAAAACCCTTGTTGGCAATCACAGAGGTCAGATGTTTCTTGTAGTTGGCCACCAGGTTTGCACCCATCTCGGGAGGGATTTTGTCCCACTCCTCTTTGCAGATCTTCTCCAAGTCATTAAGGTTTCGAGGCTGACGTTTGGCAACTCAAACCTTCAGCTTCCTCCACAGATTGTCTATGGGATTAAGGTCTGGAGACTGGCTAGGCCACTCCAGGACCTTAATGTGCTTCTTCTTGAGCCACTCCTTTGTTGCCTTGGCCGTGTGTTTTGGGTCATTGTCATGCTGGAATACCCATTCACGACCCATTTTCAATGCCCTGGCTGAGGGAAGGAGGTTCTCACCCAAGATTTGACGGTACATGGCCCCGTCCATCGTCCCTTTGATGCAGTGAAGTTGTCCTGTCCCCTTAGCAGAAAAACACCCCCAAATCAAAATGTTTCCCCCTCCATGTTTGACGGTGGGGATGGTGTTCTTGGGGTCATAGTCAGCATTCCTCCTCCTCCAAACACGGCGAGTTGAGTTGATGCCAAAGAGCTCCATTTTGGTCTCATCTGACCACAACACTTTCACCCAGTTGTCCGCTGAATCATTCAGATGTTCATTGGCAAACTTCAGACGGGCATGTATATGTGCTTTCTTGAGCAGGGGGACCTTGCGGGCGCTGCAGGATTTCAGTCCTTCACGGCGTAGTGTGTTACCAATTGTTTTGTTGGTGACTATGGTCCCAGCTGCCTTGAGATAATTGACAAGATCCTCCCGTGTAGTTCTGGGCTGAATCCTCACCGTTCTCATGATCATTGCAACTCCACGAGGTGAGATCTTGCATGGAGCCCCAGGCCGAGGGAGATTGACAGTTATTTTGTGTTTCTCCCATTTGCGAATAATCGCACCAACTGTTGTCACCTTCTCACCAAGCTGCTGGCAATGGTCTTGTAGCTCATTCTAGCCTTGTGTAGGTCCACAATCTTGTCCCTGACATCCTTGCAGAGCTCTTTGGTCTTGGCCATGGTGGAGAGTTTGGAATCTGATTGATTGATTGCTTCTGTAGACAGGTGTCTTTTATACAGGTATCAAGCTGAGATTAGGAGCACTCCCTTTAAGAGTGTGCTCCTAATCTCACCTCGTTACCTGTATTAAAGACACCTGGGAGCCAGAAATCTTTCTGATTGAGAGGGGGTCAAATACTTATTTCCCTCATTAAAATGCAAATCAATTTATTACATTTTTGACAAGCGTTTTTCCGGATTTTTGTTAGTGTTATTCTGTCTCTCACTGTTCAAATAAACCTATTGTTAAAGTTATAGACTGATCATTTCTTTGTAAGTGGGCAAACGTACAAAATCAGCAGGGGATCAAATACTTTTTTCCCCTCACTGTATACCAGGCGAGGTAGTTAACATCTCGCCACCGAGGCGCCCTGCTGAGAGCATATTTAGGAGCAGCACTCCACTTGACACGTGGCAGCGGATATTCCCTCAATGCTCAAGTGCGACACCTTAGCAGGCGTATCCAGTGTGAAGACGTCAGACAGCGACCCTGAGTGCAGAGCTGGGCTATAATATATATGATTATTTTAATAATCGATTCCTCTACTGGTCATCGTCGGTTCCATTCCTCTGCTAATCTGATAACAAACACAAATGTATTTGGAACAAAATTGATCATATCTGTTCACATGCTTTCCACTGGAATGGGAGGTGATGGGCAGGGCTTGGTGACGTCGTTGGCATCGCCAGCCACACAATGTTGGACATCACTTGTGGGGGGCTTTCCGGCTTTCGGGAGGCAGGATTTATTGGTGGCTGCCAATTTTCCAGCGCCCCAAATAATCTACCACAAACTTGTCGTTTGCAATTTTTGGTCGATTTGATTGATTGAATTGACGAATCGTCTAAAACGTGCGGTCGTCCGCGAAGAGTAACCCGAAATTGCCGTGACAGCATGTTGTAAACTTGAGTCTCCCAGGTGACGGGGCTTCATTCCAGCCGGGTCTGTGCAGGTGGGTGACCCAGCAAATGTATTCACACCTGGCACACAACAGCCGCCTATACCTGTCACACTAGTCACGTGCCTTACTCCTGACCTGGGAAACCTATTCGGCGAGAAGTGGAGCCCTCTCGGTGAGCTCGGTCACTGCGACCACGGGGAGCTCCACGAGGCAGTGCGTGACTTGCTCCTGACGATCACGTGGTTGATAATATGGTGTCGACCTGTGCTCACAAACGCAAGAGGAGAGGAACAACTCCACATTATGTTGGGCAGAGGCCACAACTGGGCGGGCCCAGTGGGCGCAGGGTGGGTAGGGGGGGGGCGAATGTGACTCTCGCTCCTGGCGTTATTTTCTGACAATCCAAGCAGCCGTAGCCTCCACGCTCTCAGAGAGATAGTTCGAGCCACGGTCCCCCTCCTCCCCCACCCCCTCCCGTGTCGGCCCACCCTCTAGTAGTGGAGCGTGGTCGCGCCCGGCGCTCCTCGTGCGAGAGTGAGCCACCTGGAACCGGCTAACGAGCCGGTGCGCTTCCGCTACTCGGAACTCCGGTGGCACGCGAATGTCACGGCTCCTGCCCAAGAGGGATGGAATGTCGCGCTTTGCTGCGAGGTCCATCTGGCTGCCTGTCATGATGCACGAGCTGCTGAACACGAGAGAATGGACCGCCTACAAGAGGCGTATTGTCATGGAATGAGTTCCAAGTAATTTAGCGAGGAAATAAAACTGGGGAACATCGCTTGCCAAGTAAGCACTGTTGGTAACATGCAAATAAACAGATACAAGTCTATATCTGTTTATTAAAATCAATTCCAGTCTATAAATCAATGGGCATAAGTTGCTTTATATGTACATTTGTCTTGCGATCTCCTCATATCCCTCTACTGATTTTGATTTCCATGATATATAAATAATTTGAAAGTTTACATTTCCATTTAAAGCTTTCGTGACTGCAAGGATTCATCTTCTTTGGTTCTTTCGGTAAAGTCACATAAAATGAGAATAAAATAATAAAATTAGACAATAAAATTCTCATTCTACGTGACTTTACCGAAAGCACCAAAGAAGATGAATTTGAAAGTTTTTCAAGTGCGTTTATTGTGAACAATTTTAATTACGAATGGATTTCCCTTAGACCCAATCATTTCCCTAATTTGGCTGATTGGCTCTGAAACTTCTTATTTATTCTACCATTTATTAAAGCCTGGAATATTCAACAAGCTATATTTCAAAACCATACAACCAATAGGCATAACCCCCACCACTGAATCTCAACGAGCTTACCACTACTGTAGTTGTTTTATAATGAGTCATTATAATGGGTATCTATGCAGTGTTATTTTTGGCATTGACGAGTCCCATCACGGAAATGCATGGCTTGTGCCTTTAACATCCAACAGCATTACAGTGTTGGTTTAACAAGCCTGACTACTGATGAGACCTAAAGGTCAAAACCAGTCCACGGAGTGTTTTCCTAAACAAATGCTGTTAGAAAACATACGTCCAAAAGGTCCAATGGATGTTGAATATAAAAATGTCTTTATAATGAAGGAACAAATATTTTTGATGTTTATTTCTTAGCCACAACATTTGGTATAGTTTGCTCGAGGCAAGATACATTCATCAACTCCCTGAGCCATTAAATTGTCACAGTTACAGTGTCGATATTTAGAAAAAAATAAAAACATGTTTTTGTATAACATCTATTGTCTTGCTCATCATTATTTCCCCCAACCTTGTAATAAGTTACGTTCACTTCACGAGCATAAACATCGACCTTAGCATTCGACAATAAAAGTATAAGCATGATTCTTACGCGCACGGCATTACGCAAGTATCATGAGCGTAGGGATATTAATTTGTCGTCAATGAATCTATGCGTCATCACGTGCCTCGTCTTCTCTATCTGCAACGATCAAAATTAAATATGTAAGTGCTGCTATGGAACCCATTCGCCCGAGAGCGGCCCACGTCAACTGCCGTTTCCACCCCTGCAGAAGCATCAGAGGAACCGAGCTGACAAGTGCCTGGATATCCGTGTGTGGTGTTCTGAAGAGTGGCGGCACGGCAATGGCATCGTGTATACCGGGCACGTTTCGACCACTTGTGTGTGTGCGTGTGTTTTATCGTCTGTATCCTACGTATAAATGCGTATGTAAACACTAAATATTGCATGTGTAAAGTGAGAGTGGGGAAAAAGTATGAAACTGTTGCAAGCATGTTCAGTGTAGAAGCAGTTTTTTTCAGCGGCGAACGTTTGGTTACTCTGCAATTTCACCAAGTTTATTTGTTCTTGTTGATGTTGAATCGTCTAATTGTCTTCCCATCTCCCGCTCTGCCTCTCTCTCCCCACCAATGCGACACCTCTCTTTCTACCCCCCCCCACACCGCCCTCATCCCACAGTCGCTAAGGAACACTACGATGCTGAAGGAAGGAGGCCTCTGGAACGATTTCGACGTAAGTACTTTCCCATTCATTCATCATTAACACTTTTAAATCAGCAGCAGCAGCAGCCATCCACTGCTCGATGGAGGCTTCCTGCAAGCGGTCACCCTATCTCTTGGTCGTGCCGATCGTGACAATAATTCGCCGAGCTCTCGCGCACGATCCGATTTCATAGCGATTATATATTTAAAATAAATACAGTAGTGATCATGTATTCGTTCACCCCAGGAATGCCCTAACGGAGTCTAAACCTAAATTGGCAGCAATAGCTTGCTGTTTTTTTTTAACGTTATCCTTACGTATATATATTGAGCATCTTTGCTTCAGCTTGGCAGTGCCTGAAGAACATCCACACAAAGAAGGCATGCCAAATGCTGCAGAGATCGCTCGCAGCGAAAACCTACTTGCTGTACTGTGTCGTAGAGGCATATATATTGCTCTGCAAAACAGCTTTTAAGACAATTGTGTTTTAGTTGTACGATATGTATATACCGCACACGTAATGTGAGCATAAATACACGTTTGTGTGCGTATGCGATGCTAACAAATGAAATTGGCTGTGGAAATGAAATTCGGGTGGGAAAGAACCATGCCATTAATTATTGACCACGTTTGACCATTGCGTGACATGTCAGGCTTAATCTCAAGTTTGAAAATATTTCACAAATGGGTTTGTTAAAAATTAATTACTTTTCCCCTTACACTATACTCTACATCTGTGATTCCATAGATTTCCATACCTGAGAAATAATGAATCTTGCTGGGCCCTCGCCTGGTTAAATAAACATATTGAACTGAATATAAACGACTTCTATGCAAAGCAAAAAATAAAGATCCCCCCCCCTCAACATTCCCATACATTCGTACATAATGTGTTCATTATGAATGTTGCTTATGGCAAATTTAATTTGTATATTTAATGCCATTACCTTATAATGAATGCAATTTTATCATCATTATTCTTTTTTATTTAACCCTGCAAAATCGTAGCTGATAAATGTGGCACAAGCGAGGAGGTCGTGCGATTTCCTAAACGTGCTTTGGCGAATCATTCAAGAGCCAACAACGTAGCATTATTAGCAGGGATCATTTTATAATCACTGTCCTTAAACGGAGCCTATCGATTTGCTGGTGAGAGGGGGGGGGGGGGCAAAAGAAAAAGGGAGACATTTTGAAAGGGGACTGACAACGGAGCATAAATAAATAAACAAATAACTGAATTTAAACGCTCGTACGCACGCTTTAATCAGCGGCTCTCCGATGATCAAACCTCAACCGCTCGTAAACACATTCGCCTCGTCCAAGTCAGCGGGTAAGGCATCTGCCCCAAGAATGCATGGCCACGTGGCGCCGAATGAAAATGAACATTCTCATGAATGAATACAAAACGCGGGCAACATGTTTTTTTTGGTAAATGAAATCTGTTGTTTTAACGCAACGGGACCAACTCCCTCGGAACCCCTCTCCACGCCTCTTCTTCACCAGCCGTCCTCCTCCTTCCTCGTTACACCTCCACCCTCTCCCAAGAGGCGCTGTCGCTAAGCGCTGTGTGGATGGATAATTGGGCGCTGCATTATATATTTATTTAGGTGCATGTCGGGGGAGGGGGTGGGGGGGTGGAAGTGAAGCGGGATGAGAGCTTAGGGAGGATGGCTGGGAGGTTTTGCTTGGGAGGGGGGGGGGGGCGCTGAGCCGAGCGTGTGCGCTGCAGGGGAGGGGTGGAAGGGATAGCAACAGATGCGTGGGGACGTTGTGCCGCTCTCAAAAGGTCGGCAGGGAGGAGGACTTGAGAGGAGTCGATGAGGCAGTCAATACGCACTGGGCGGAGGCGGGGGCTTCGCCAGCCCTAATTGCGCCCACGGCATCGCAGGGCGAGTCCGGCCGACTTCTCGCAGCTGTTTGCGCAATTGGGCGAGAGTACGCCGGTGTATCTGAATATATAATAGTGCATATATATTTGTATATATCTGTGCTTTTTGCATATATATATAATTACAACATATTTGATATATTTTAAATATAGATTATATATTTATGTTGTGTGTGTGTATATTGTGTATATATGGATCTTTGGCGTTTCATATATAATGTGTGTGTATATATATACTGCATATTTATAAAGCGCCACTGATTAATTCCAGCCAGGTGTATCAGGGTCGGTGGCACAGAAAATTGCCCGGCGATCGGCACACCACATCCAGTATTTTGCTCGCCATGGCTGCCGCGACGAGCTTAACATGCCTCCCGCTCCACTCTTACTGCGAGCGAACCAGACAATGTTTCGATGAGAAGTAAAATCCCCTCGCATCGTGGTCGCGTTTTCGACCTCGTGGCCAAAATTTCCAAACGCTGAGCAGACCCCTGAAGGACTGGGACACGTGCTCTTGATGGGTGATCACCAAGCGCGCCGCACAGGTTGCTGCAGGCTGCTTGCGGGCAACGCGTTTGACCGTCTTCTTGTTTTGTACGGCTGATGTAGATGCAGATACGACAACTGCAAGTTAACATTCGGGTGGTCAAACCCAGACAACCGCGTCACGAGCAGCGGTGTATCGCTGTGACGTCTCCTTCGTATTTGCGGATCGGGGCATTGAGTGGTTATACGTTGTGCGGTGGTCCTGTTCTGGATGACCACAGTCGCGTCACTGGATAGTTTATTCATGTATTTCCTATTTGTACATCGGGTACCCGCATCTGCCACGGTTTATGCGGACGTGGTTTCGGGGTCGACCATGATTTTCGTTGATGGCAGAAGGCGGCAGTGCAGCAAATGCCCTGTGCGGTCCTGCCCCACCTTCAGCCCACACCCGCCAAGCGTGGGGGGGGGGGGTGAAGTTGGGTCGCATGTGGAGGCCCCACGACCCGCATGAGGAGGCCCCATGACCGGCATGGGGAGACCCCACGACCCGCATGAGGAGGCCCCACGACCGGCATGAGGAGGCCCCACGACCGGCATGGGGAGACCCCACGACCCGCATGTGGAGGCCCCACGACCCGCATGAGGAGGCCCCACGACCGGCATGAGGAGGCCCCACGACCCGCATGAGGAGGCCCCACGACCCGCATGAGGAGGCCCCACGACCCGCATGAGGAGGCCCCACGACCGGCATGAGGAGGCCCCACGACCCGCATGAGGAGGCCCCACGACCCGCATGAGGAGGCCCCACGACCCGCATGAGGAGGCCCCACGACCCGCATGAGGAGACCCCACGACCCGCATGTGGAGGCCCCACGACCCGCATGTGGAGGCCCCACGACCCGCATGAGGAGGCCCCACGACCCGCATGTGGAGGCCCCACGACCGGCATGAGGAGGCCCCACGACCGGCATGAGGAGGCCCCACGACCCGCATGAGGAGGCCCCACGACCCGCATGAGGAGGCCCCACGACCCGCATGAGGAGGCCCCACGACCGGCATGAGGAGGCCCCACGACCCGCATGAGGAGGCCCCACGACCCGCATGAGGAGGCCCCACGACCCGCATGAGGAGGCCCCACGACCCGCATGAGGAGGCCCCACGACCCGCATGAGGAGGCCCCATGACCCACATGTGGAGGCCCCACGACCCGCATGTGGAGGCCCCACGACCCGCATGTGGAGGCCCCACGACCCGCATGAGGAGGCCCCACGACCCGCATGAGGAGACCCCACGACCCGCATGGGGAGGCCCCACAACCCGCATGAGGAGACTCCACGACCCGCATGTGGAGGCCCCACGACCCGCATGAGGAGACTCCACGACCCGCATGTGGAGGCCCCACGACCCGCATGAGGAGGCCCCACGACCCGCATGAGGAGGCCCCACAACCCGCATGAGGAGACTCCACGACCCGCATGTGGAGGCCCCACGACCCGCATGAGGAGACACCACGACCCGCATGTGGAGGCCCCACGACCCGCATGAGGAGGCCCCACGACCCGCATGAGGAGGCCCCACAACCCGCATGAGGAGACTCCACGACCCGCATGTGGAGGCCCCACGACCCGCATGAGGAGACTCCACGACCCGCATGTGGAGGCCCCACGACCCGCATGAGGAGGCCCCACGACCCGCATGAGGAGACCCCACGACCCGCATGTGGAGGCCCCACGACCCGCATGAGGAGGCCCCACGACCCGCATGAGGAGGCCCCACGACCCGCATGAGGAGGCCCCACGACCTGCATGTGGAGGCCCCACGACCCGAATGTGGAGACCCCACGACCCGTATGAGGAGACCCCATGACCCGCATGTGGAGGCCTTCATCTGGCAGTGGGGATTGGCAAAGGGGGGTGGGGGGTTGGCCGTCTGCGTTTACATTAATTGCCTGTTGCAATGTGTGCACAATTCATAGCCCTCTTTTTTAAGTGCATTATAAGGGTCTTTTTTAAGCGGGATAACAAATGAAGGTTTAAAAATACAGACAAATCACATGAATAATTAAATCTTAAATGAAAAAAGTGTCGATTATGACGATGGAAACGAACGGCAGCCGGTAGCAAAACGCAACAGGTTGCAGATGGTTATTAAAGTTTAATTACCTGAAGCATTCAATATTTAACAATTATAAAATGTAAGCATACACATATGTTTCATGCAATCAGTCCAGGTCCTTTTTTAATCACCCGCCGTGGGGATTAAACCCAATTGTTTCAATACCGGCATCAAGAATGCATCATCTTGTTGTGGACGGAACCAGAAGAGAGCTCATTGGTTTCAAAATATATCTTTGCACAGGAAACTTAATGTCTGGCTGTGTCTGAATATGTCGGGTCTCTATGTCTGGTCATAGATATCCAACCCTTCTTTCTGTTAAAAAAATACCACGATTTTTACGTAATTTGCACGAACGTTAGCGCTTTTAAAATTAAAGCGTGCAATAGGATGATAAAGTAAACCAGCTATAAAGTGGACTACCAGGAAAATCCCTGTTCTGCAGGTTCGTATGCATGTGTGTTGAACTTTTTTCACACCGTACGTAGCCATCCGTGTTTATCGGAGGTGCACTGGACGAAGAACGAACTTAACACAAAAATCAATTCTCACGAAATTAATTTTCAATCTAGATTTAAAAGTGCATAGCTCCAGTGACGTTCTAATATCGGAAGGAAGAGCATTTCAGACAACCACAGAAGTGCATCTGAAAGCGCACGATGCAGTGACCATCTTGTTTAATGGTTTGCCAAAAGCTGTGACTGCAATGATGATGGTGTATGTTCCTTGACGAGATCAGCAAGGTATTCTGCTTCATTTGTGGCAAGCACTTTGTATGTATGTAATGAGTGCAACCTTTATCATACATTCCTTTGGCAACTGGGAGCCAATGCAGTTCAGCGAGCACTAGACCGACACAGTTGGGTCTTGCATTGTCCATCTTACACCCGAGTCCACACTTTCCCTCGTGTAATTAGTTGAATCGGCTTCAGCTGGTTGCCTTTTTTTTTGGCGCCGTCTCGCCAACGTGGCCGTGAACGCAGGGACGAAGCGACCGTCGAGAGGCGAATGAAAGGAGATGTAGCCGACCATCAACAGGGGGTCATTTGCAGGCGATCGACAATTAACCAATCGCTCCTTCACACGTTTGTACCCACTCTCTACAGCTCAGGCCTTGCCCTCTCAAAAAAGGAACTCACATTTTTTTTGGAGAGGGCGGAACTGTTTGGTTCGCAATTGGTGTGTCACATTGTATGACTACTTTTGGTTCTCGAGTCAAATGCGTGAAAGTTGGACAAACATCCTGTGATAACTCAACAGTCGTGTGCCTCCTGATTTTAATTTACCCACAGAACGGGTGATGAATCCACACGCGATTTTCCCCTCCCAACCCCGTGTTGCAGGCACTCAATCACACAGCTCCATCAGGGGGCCGAGCGCCCAGCAGGAGAAGGGAGCAACGAAGCAACAGCAGCAGCACCTGCTGGTGCCCGGGGGAGGGGAGTGGGGCGCAGCGGGGGGCGACCGGGGCCACGGGGGTGGCCGGGCGGATGACCGCGACCCGGCCCAGGTGCTGGCTGAGGAGCCGCCACCCTGCGACAGCCCCGAGGCTCTGGAGAGAGCGGCTGTCAGGTGAAGCTCGTCACCACCTCTGCTCACCCCCAGCTGGGCACCTGAGCATCTGAGTGCCTGTGTACCTCGATGTCTGGTTGTCTGAGCATCTGCATGTTAAGACAACTGGGTGGTTAGGCATCTGAACGTCTGGGTGAATGAACATCCTGGGTACATTAGCACATGGATGCCTGGATACTCCGACATCTGAGTGCCTGAGCACCTGGGCATCTGGGTACCAGGACATCTCGACATAGCTGTGCCTGGGCATCTGAGTGTCTGGGCATATGGGCATCTGGATATTTGGGCATCTGTATGCCTAGGCTGCTTGAGTCCTTACACATCTGGATGTCTGTATTCCAGCCATGTGCATCCACTCACACATTGAGATTTTAGACGAGTTTGTGGAAGGTCGAGCAGGTCTTTGTGTAACCAGTGGTCTATGCTTCCTCCGATATTTTCAATTTGCTTTGTCTTCCCACGAAAAGTAATTAAAAAAACATTTTAAGAAATGCTTTTGTTTTTAAGAAAGAGCCATGCCACTCAATGGGGCTTTCCAAAAAAAATAACGTGCGTTTTATTTGAAGGTGACTCGCCAATGTCACACTCATTCCTTTTCCTATGCTGCGATAAAAAAAAAAAATGCATTTTGTAACGTTGCATAAGCCCACACATGGCACTGTAAACCAAAAAAATCATAATGGCCCCATTATGTTTTGGAAAGTTACCAGGAACCCAATTAGCCCACGAGGTGAAATGGGCATTTCTATAATTTTTTCGCGTTTTTATTCACCATTGTTGTTGTTGTGCCCCACCCTGCGATGCTGCTGATCTTCTCCCGACACGGTGACCAGACTGCGATGCCTCCTCAAGCAGCTGGAGCGAGGGGAACTTCCCGTCGCCGACCTCAAGAAGAACCTGGATTACGCCGCGTCCGTGCTCGAGGCTGTCTATATGGAGGACAACAGGTGGGGGGGGGGGGGGGAGTGGGCTCAATGGGGGCATCGCGGTGGCGAGATGTTTACTACCTCGCCTGGTATGCAGGAGGTCTTGGTGTCTATTGGACCTTTTTGGCAATATCAAAATGATGAAAAATATATTAAATAGGTTTGACCATTTCTGGCAATAAAACAGGTATTCTTAGTTCTTTCGGTAAAGTCACGTAGAAGGGAAACGATAAAATAATATAGATGGACTCGTCCATCTGAATAACTGCTAAATCGCTCTCCGTGGTACTAACGTTAAGAAAACGCTACTTTTCACACCTGATGAAGATTGCTTGTGTTGCAGTCGAAACGTCGTGAGAATTGTATTGTTTTATATTTTTATTATTTTATCATTTCCATTTTACGTGACTTTACCGAAAGAACCAAGAATTTGAATCCTTGCAGTCACGAAAGCTTTAAATCAAAATAAAACAGTTGTTAAAATGTTTACACACTACCTTTTGCAAGGTATCAAGTTTGCATTAACCACACGTACTTGTGGAAAAATATGCAAACAAGCATGCTCTGATAATATATGCATTGAATTTAAAACTGATTGGCATTGGGTTCGATCCCGACCCTGACGCCTGTATATTTGGAGCTTGCATGTTCTCCCCGTGGTCGTGTGGATTTTTCTCCGGATCCTCCAGTTTTTTTCCTCTACATTTAAAATCATGCGTTTGAGAGTATTTGTATGATATGAATGTCAACATAAGCTACTCTGTTGTGTAATCATTTGTTGCCAGGTCGCTTCTGACAAAGAGCTGTATAGTTGACTGGGCCTTACTTGGTAAAATAAAATAAAACGGTTTAGTTTAGTAAGAAGAGCAAGCGTGCACCGAGCCTTGCACAATCGCTGCGGTGACATCATCGTCACTTAGTGTGGAATGGCAGCTGGTGTGCTTGGTGCTTGCTGTCTCTTTGTATTGTATGAGCACACTAACCCTCGCTCTATCTCTCTCTTTCCCTGTGGACACGCAAGGCGTCTCCTGGACCCTGAGGATGAACTGGGAGACCTGGGCTCAGAGGCGGTGCCGACGCAGGTGCGCGACTGGCTGGCCTCCACCTTCACGAGCCACATGGGGCTGGTGAATCGAAGGCCGGAGGACAAGCCCAGCTTCCGCAGCATTGTTCACGCCGTACAAGCTGGCATCTTTGTCGAGAGGTGCCAAGCCCTCCTGCTCCCCCTCCTCCATGCTGTACCGCCTCCGCTCGCAAGACTCTCTCTATCACAAGGTTTCTGCATTGCGATGCTTGGACCATTCATTGTAAAGGATTGTTCACGCGAGAGAGGACAGTGAAGTGGCATGAACGGTGGAGAAAAGCCGCCGCACATGCCAGGGGATAGCATTCAAAGGTTCACGCAGATGGGGTCACAAATTCACACACAATGCACTGCCATCTTCTGGCCATATCGCAGCCCATAAAGGTATGAGCCTCTCGCAAGTCTACGCGATCCACAACCTATGCCTCCTAAAGTTACGAATTACAGGAGTGCATACGCTACCGAGCCTGGTTGAAACACACTTTACATGGAGAGCGACCATCTTAAACGCAACGCAAGTAGCTTTTCGTGAGAGCCAGGTACTCGCTTTAAGGCTGAATCGGCCGATTGAAAGCCTGGGACAGGTTTAGATACTGCTTACAGGGGAAGGACAACAAACTGCGTTTTGTGCTTAGTTTGATGTCCTTCCCCCGATTAGCACAGTTGGCTACGTACGGTGCGAAAGAAGTTCTACATACATACATACATTGCCATTCAATTTAGCCATGACCGGAAACGGAAACCAGGTAATTGGATTCGCACTCATCGGGCCCGCTGCTCTCCGCGCACAAACACACGCGAGACACATTGCGTGCACAAGATGGTGGCACACATGCAACACACGAGCAGACACAGAGACACACACACACACACCTGTGCCCACATACCCGAATGCCCGCCAAATAATCGTTTTTGGGCAGCCTTTGTGTTTAGAGCCCTCCTCGTGTGACCAGAGCAGCCACGGGTCGCGCCGCTTGTGAACCGTGCCCTCCTGACCCCCCCGGGGCCTTGGCGCACAAACCGCTCACTGCGGCATCAACCCGGCGCTCTGTACGCTGCTCACTCTTATTATTATTATTAATTTGTATTAATAATATATAGATTTTTTTTAAACATCCTCTTCTACCTCCTACGGGTTCCACATTTGGTTTCCGGCTCGGATAAAAAAATTGACGCACCCGAGCCAGTGGCGGAACTATCGAATGTGCAGGCAATGCAACTGCACCGTGGGACCCACAGATTCGAGGTGGGGGGCCTGGGTGCCAGGCTACAAAGACGGCGGGGGGGGGTGAAATTGGACATGGGGGTATGCCCCCTTTTATTCCTTGCCACCCAGGGCTATTTCGACGAACCGCTACGCCACTGCACCCCACCCAGAGACCGCTGAGAGATAAATAAACGCAGCAAGGAGGCAGTTTTGTTGATTTAAGTCGCTCATTGCTCTGGGGAAGCTAATAGTCGAGCCATATGCTCGGCGACATTCAATCCCTGGGTCGTCAAGCATGGGTCCCCTTTGTCCTCGCGTGACCTTTTGTTATCCCTGGTGCATGACACAACGGCGCCCCAGTCTGATTAACGGACGCGTGGCACGACTCCGTGAACCGCGCCGATTGCACCGTGGCAAGTCACGGTCGATTTGTCAGGGGTTGAATTCAAACGGAGTGCGGGGATCATCCCATTCGCTCGCCCGTTTCTAAGGATGTCCGTCCGCTGATCACGATTTATCGTTTGGCTCCTTTTTTTGTTTACAATAGTTTGTTCTCATCTTGTACTTTTAAGGTAAAATTATTCAGCGGTGAGGCCAGCATGGCAAGATGTTTTTGACCAAAGGTTGTCTTGGTATCAGAAAAATGTAGCTTCATAGTTTCAAGATACGTACAGATAAGGGCACACAATTTTCTTCCCATTCCTGCACCGAAAACCACAAACTGCCATTATTCTATCAACGACATGGATTTGCTGTTTACAGAGCACCCTGCTTATTTTGCCAGGGCGGAGCGAAGTATTTTTCGTCGCATCTCAACACATTTTTAAAAGGGCAACGTTGTCTACTGGAAGTTGTCCCCGTTGCAGCACGAGGTGACTGGCCTACTATACGGGCATTGGTCTACTGCCAGTAGTGGTGAGGGGGGCGGGGGGGGGGTCACGATTGCTTTGTTGTATCATCCCATATTCTATGGATCTTTCGGTAAAGCCATGTAGATACAATTTTTTTTTTAATCACGACGTTTCGATCGCAACACAAGCAATCGTCATCAGGTGAAAAAATAGCAGGAGAGCTGCTGAGGCAGGATGTTATTAAGGTTTGAGATGGGTGTAGCCCAAGGGTCATAAGCGAAGTGGACGGGGCTCGTGATGAAATGTGCATGTAACGACGACGAAGCTGCAGAGGTGGCCATTGTATTGTGAGAGATTAGCATGTCAATGTAAGATCGTAGAGCCACGCTGCCGGTGCTGCTGCTGCTGCATTTGCAGGATGTACCGCCGCTCCTCCAGCATGACGGGGCTGAGTTACCCACCGGGAGTCATCTCAGTGCTGAAGGTAAGCCCAGCCATTACGAGCCGACAGCACGGTTCCATACCGAGAACAATCCGGGTGTAATAGCTCTGAAGGACTATTGAACAGAATGCTAATTTGTTACGGTGAAACGACTCGTATCTGCGCTGATTATATGGACTCCTATTCACTATTCACAGTTGTTTTACTCCTTAAATCCGCGTGAAAGTGTGCATGGATAAATGCGGATAATCGGGTGACTTTGCCCCCCCCCTCCCCCAACTGCTGAGTTACTCTGACTCGCGAATTAATTCCTGATACGAGGATGAATTGGGACAAAGCTCAAGATAAGTGTGGATAATCGGATTAATGTGCCGCAACTCGGAGGCTTTTGCTCCTATCCACACAAAAGTGGATAATCGGATACATTTTGTCACCAATTCTGGGTTGACGATCTTGTGCGCAGATAGTAGCAATCGTGGACACATGGGTAACAAGAATGTCCGCGTGTTGATTCAAATGTCCGAGTTGCACCCGAATGTCTGCGTTGCACCCGAGTCAAGAGCCGCATGGCTCACAGGGCTATACCTAATGAATGAAACTGAAATGAACCTGAAAGGCGTGAATGACAGACAGAGAGGATAAAAGGAGGGCAGATGCGAGGAGTTTCACTAAATATAATTCTCCTGTATAAGATCGTACGATTCATGGCAGTGTTGAATTTAGTTTTTTTAGTTGCTTTATTCTTTTGCAAAAACTGCTGCTGCGCACGAAAAAAAGTTTTATTTTAGTTTTCGCGAACGCTCTGTTTTCAGGACGTGGACAAGTGGTCGTTTGACATTTTTGCCCTGAACGAGGCGAGCGGGGAACACGCGCTCAAGTTCACCTTGTACGAGACGCTCACCCGATACGACCTCATCGCACGGTTCAAGGTACTACGATAAGGAGGGGGAATAGTCCCACGGCCACAGTGCCACTTCATCGTAAAGCCTTCACATCGTCATGCCACCGTGACCTCACAAACTGCATGGCAACAACCTACCTCTGCAGCTTCCCTATTGTAAGCCCAGGGACTCATTTTAGTCCTCAGCATGACAGTTCTATGGATTTCCGCTGAATTTCTGTAAAGTTTCTGTCGGGTACGATGAACGGTATGGACAAGTGTGAGAGTAAAACTACCCAATGTCCTAGTCTGGCCAGGACAATCCTAGTTTCAGAATCAGCATCTTTATTTACACTGGAGGAATCCGATGGGCTATGAATCTCTCTTTCACAGATGGTCCAGTATGGGTGGTTCAGCAAGAAGGGTTCGCCTACCTGAAGAGTGGGTGGGGGGCTTTAGAGAAGCAGTTGGGCCCAACATCTGAAAAAAGCGAGGATCGGGAGGCCGCTCACTAAGTGGGCGGCGTTCGTGGATAATTGAGTGGGCGTGGCTTTTAAAAATGCGTGAGTTTCCGACAGAATGGAGGGGACTGCCCAGCCAACCCACGTGTGTGTCCCTGGTTAAGCCCCCCAGATGTGTTGGCGACTTTTGGTTGTCGGGGGGGATAAGGGTGACCCGTAAGGTACACGCACTCAATGATTAAACGCGCTCCTGCTGTCCACTCGGGCAGATTCCCATCTCCTCGCTGGTGTCATTTGCGGATGCGCTCGAGGCGGGATACAGCAAATACAAGAACCCCTACCACAACCTCATGCATGCCGCCGACGTCACGCAGACGGTGCACTTCCTCCTGCTCAAAACCGGCTTCATGGTAACGCTGCTTCCACGACGCCAGAACTTCCTGCGAAACACTGGCTCAATAGCAGTCGTTCATCCGATGGAAATGTTGTTTTGTTTTGTTGCGTCTATTAAAACGTTAATTAATGAACGACACTTTGAGCCACCCGATGAAAAATGTAAGTTATTGTGAGCGATAGAGCTTTATGACATTCTTTGAAGGAAACTTCATTCAAGAATGAAAACAATTTAAGCTTAGAGATGGCACACGAGTGTGTAACAATCATGCTAATGGTGATTTAGATAGAATTACCAAAAAAACATAACATGATACAGATATTACTAGATACGATCATGCCAATGATAACAATAATTTAAATGATCAGTTAAATACACATACACTTTTTTAATGGCTGTGTAACAATGATCATGAAGATTCTAATTTATTTAATCTAATCTATATTTTATATACAGCGCCTTCAATCAAGGCGCTTGACATGACTTACAAAACTGTAACAGAATGGAATGATTTAGAGGAAAGGGACGTTGCTACAAGGATTGAGGAATGAGTGACAGCGATAGAGGGGTAGGGGAGGGATGGGAAGAAGTGGAGGGGCAAGGGGAGGGAAGGGGAAGAGAATGGGCAATAGTGAAAGGAGGTGACCTTTAAGAGAGGAACGGAGGGAGCTTAAGGAGGGGGACTCCTTAATGTAAGATGATGACGATGATGATGTAGCTTTTCGACTCTCCTTGCCAGCACTGGCTGAACGAGTTGGAGATCTTCGCCATGCTGTTTGCGGCAGCCATTCATGACCTGGAGCACACGGGAACCACGAACAACTTCCACATCCAGACCCGGTGCGAACGCGCCCGCGTCTCCTCCACGCATGCACTCACTCGCGCGCTCGCGCGATGGCCGCAGTAGCGGCGCGTCCGTGAGGGCACTTGCCATTGTAGTCGCAATTATTTGCGGCTCGTAGTTCAGGAGTGGACCAGTCGCACTGTTGTTCATGCACCGTGCCATGAACCCAGCGTCCTGAGTTTGATTCCCAGCCTGGTGCGCCATTCCCCCCCCCCCCCACCCTTCACCAACGCGTACTGACCATTGTGGTGAAGTATGGTCAAACTACCCTCCATGACCAACATTGTGTGGGGAGGGCTTCCTTCAACAGTGGATTGACAATGGCAGTAAATGATTTAATTACCCTCACCTTCACGCCTTTCCCTGACCCCTAACCCTCACTCTCATCCTCGACCCACCCCCTCACCATTACCAGCACCCCTTACTTTCACCCAGATCCTCACCCTCACCCCTGCCACTTAGCCCCACCCCTTAGCCCCACCCCGTCTCTCACTCTCACCTCCGTCTCTCACTCTCACCCCTTACCTTGACCCCCCCACTCCCGCTCCTCACCCCCACCCCTCACCAGGTCCGATGTGGCCATCCTGTACAACGACCGCTCGGTGATGGAGAATCACCACGTGAGCACCGCGTACCGCATCATGCAGGCCGATGAGGATGCCAACATCCTCATCAACCTCAGCAAGGATGACTGGAGGTAGAGTCTACATCTGCCTTCATCTTTACCATCACCAACATTACCACCACCATCACCACCAACATCACCACCACCATCACCACCACCATCAGTGTCTTCAAGCCTAAGCTATCATCATCATCGTCGCCGTCGTCATTTATTCTATATTTAGATGGTGGGAGAGCTATTGTCCAATTTGCAAAAAAGGAAATCGTGCCCCAGTTCGTGAAAATGACCACGCAATTTGGGCAGTGCCCTAGTTCAGAAAATTATCATCCAACGCACATCATTTTTACGATTGCCTGTGTGTGAGGCTGTGCTGGCCGGGAGATTAAATGTTGTTTTTCTCCCTCCCCCGCCTGCCAAAAACCAGCTTGAGTTTATTCCCTGCCCAACTGTCGACCTACAGGGGGTATATGAGGAGAACGTAGCTGCTGCTGCTGCTGGTGTTGCTGCTGCTGCTTTCGCGCGTAATAGTCGCTCCGTGCTGTGCCACTGTGGGCGATTGGACAGACGCAGGGCCAGATTTTGCGGGCTAAATGACAAGGACCGCGGCTAGTCCCTTCGTAGACTTGTAGACAATGCCCCCCCCCTCCCATCTACTGAGTGGTGAAGACACTTAGACTCACGCTTAAGTGTTTTCTGTGCGCGATTGCAATCACGATGAAGGTCTCAACGGTATAGAGAGCAGACATTTGGCGCAAATAGAGCCATATCTACACTAATAGAGTACATAGAAACATCTGAAATTCGTATTTACAACTACTGCCTCGAGTTGAAATACAGTACGGACCTGCTCGTTGTTAAGTGTGTTTGCCTTTTTTTTATGTTGGGCTTTATAGAGCATTGTAGTATTTGTCCTCCTGGTCACGTGTGTTTCGATATTAGGAAGCCACTGGAGCGATATGCACTTTTAAATCTCAATGGAAAACGCATTTCTTTTAAGAACATATTTTTGTGTTTAGTTCGTCATCCTTCCTCCACACCTCCAATTAGCACGGTTAGCTACGTACGGTGCGAAAGAAGTTTAACGTACATATAAGACCCTTTGTTCCAACGAGGTCTGCCTGCCTCTTCGTTTTTTCTTCAGAATATTGTCGTCGTTGAATGCCCGTCATTGTGCGCCACACAACACGACGTTCATCAGCATCGTCACCTCCATCAAGTCCTCGAATTTTGCTTGGGGGCCGTCCATAAATGACGTCGCGCACCTAGGGGGAGGGGGGGGGGTCAGACATTTGTGAGGATGTGTGACGAGGGGGGGAGGGGGTTTGAGAAATGTGACGTCACGTCAAAATGCGCAACTTTAAATAAATATAGACAACACGTTCTACTTAATTAAATAGACTTTTTTTAAATAAATATTTTCTCTTACAACATCAGAGTTGCAGCGCCACATTAAATACGCACTACAATGACAATAGTTTAAAGCGATTTGAAGCATGTTTTATATTCAAAATGGAAATATGGTTTGGGGGAGCTTTGTGACGTCATATTTGAGGGGGGGGGGGTCTGACTTTTTGTGACGCCGTGTGACGAGGGGGGGGGGTCAAAAATCGGCCAAAATCGCGTGACGTCATTTATGGACGACCCCTTATCCAATTGTTCCTGCTATCGAACGGCTATACAGCTGGCAGCTTCTTGGGGTTGAATTGTCCCCGGCCAGAATCAGCATCTTTGTTTGTAGACTGGGAGGACTCCGATGACCTATGAAGCTTTTTTTTCACAGATGTCCAGTTCCGTATGACCCACGGGTCCTTGTCGACAGAGATTACAGGATATTTCTAACACAATTAATAAAGCAATTAATAAGCAGATAATCTAGCGAGTTACGTCTTAATGCCTATTTTTAATTGCGCTTATAAACAATTACATTTCCAACGATGATTAATATAACATTTTCCATAGGTTTTTTTTGTTGCAAATGTTTAATTATGGAAATCCCCGACCCAACTCCTTGCGGATCATTTGAACTTCATCTCGTCGGAGCGCCGATCATCGCCGCGATCGATAATTTGCGCGACACCCCTCGCGTGCTCATCCGCTGGAGTGTCGCAGGCGGCGTCGTCGTCGTGATTGTGGTGTTGGGAAGGCGGCGCCGTCGTGATTGTGGTGTTGGGAAGGCGGCGTCGTCGTGATTGTGGTGTTGGGAAGGCGTCGTCGTCGTGATTGTGGTGTTGGGAAGGCGGCGGCGTCGTGATTGTGGTGTTGGGAAGGCGTCGTCGTCGTGATTGTGGTGTTGGGAAGGCGTCGTCGTCGTGATTGTGGTGTTGGGAAGGCGGCGGCGTCGTGATTGTGGTGTTGGGAAGGCGTCGTCGTCGTGATTGTGGTGTTGGGAAGGCGGCGGCGTCGTGATTGTGGTGTTGGGAAGGCGTCGTCGTCGTGATTGTGGTGTTGGGAAGGCGGCGTCGTCGTGATTGTGGTGTTGGGAAGGCGTCGTCGTGATTGTGGTGTTGGGAAGGCGGCGGCGTCGTGATTGTGGTGTTGGGAAGGCGGCGTCGTCGTGATTGTGGTGTTGGGAAGGCGGCGTCGTCGTGATTGTGGTGTTGGGAAGGCGTCGTCGTGATTGTGGTGTTGGGAAGGCGGCGGCGTCGTGATTGTGGTGTTGGGAAGGCGTCGTCGTCGTGATTGTGGTGTTGGGAAGGCGGCGGCGTCGTGATTGTGGTGTTGGGAAGGCGTCGTCGTCGTGATTGTGGTGTTGGGAAGGCGGCGTCGTCGTGATTGTGGTGTTGGGAAGGCGTCGTCGTGATTGTGGTGTTGGGAAGGCGGCGGCGTCGTGATTGTGGTGTTGGGAAGGCGTCGTCGTCGTGATTGTGGTGTTGGGAAGGCGGCGTCGTCGTGATTGTGGTGTTGGGAAGGCGTCGTCGTGATTGTGGTGTTGGGAAGGCGGCGGCGTCGTGATTGTGGTGTTGGGAAGGCGGCGGCGTCGTGATTGTGGTGTTGGGAAGGCGGCGGCGTCGTGATTGTGGTGTTGGGAAGGCGGCGGCGGCGGGGGCGTTGGGGCAGGCGTCGGATGCGAAAGGTGAACACTGAAATTGGCCTCCGGGTCGGAGGGGGTTGGCTGGGGAGCCACGCGTCTCAGTCGCAGCCGTGGGACCGCCACACACGGCGCAGCAGGCGGGGGGGACGACAGCCCCCTCCTCCGGGGGGAGGGGGGTTGGGGGGAAGGGGGGGTCGTGGGGAGGGGGGGGTCAGGAGGAGGGGGGCGGGGAGAAGGGCGAGGAGGGGGGGGGCGCTCATCAGCAGCGGCAGCCGGTGGCGAACAGCGGCAGGGGAGGATTGGTCACCCGGCGTGCTCAGTTTTAACGATGTTTAATTTATGGAGCTGCTTTAAGCGTCGACTAAGTACACAAGACGGACATACTCTCGGTGACTGTGTGTGTGTATTTGCTGTTTGCTCGGGTGTTTACAGTAAGCGCATAGGTGACTGTGTTTGTGTTTGTTATGGGGGGAGCGGTGGCGCAGCGGTTAGCGAGCGACATTACTAACCCGGCGGACACGAGTTCGATTCCAGCTCATGGCAAACACCAGAGACCTCGCGTGCCGTGCAAGGCTTTCATCGGTGCTACTCGCTAACAGCACTTGCCCCTACAGCCTGTTAAGGCTGTACACGGGGTGTCGTTGTCTTTGTAGCATGGGGAATGGTGACGTGGTTTTCACGAAGTGCAACAAACTCAACGACATAATCAATAAGCAGATGTTTCCTTTATAGATCCGTCCCTCCGCAAAGAAACCCCACATCAAAATACATGTTTACATTTATATCAATGACTCGTCCAAATACGTGAGTTTGATTCCTGACGCCATGGCATCTGAAACCTGTTCGTGGCCTCCCTAGGTCGACTCAGTGGTAAATGAGCACTGTACTTGCCGCACAAAGGCAGTCCGGACGTGTTCATGGTCAACTCCACCCCCTTAATAGGTGCTCGCTAACAGCACTTGCCCCAGTTGCCTAAAAAAACAATCTATAAAGAACCTCGTTTTAAAACAAATCCACACAATGTTTTAAAAAAACAGGTGCCTTCGAAGGAACAAAAAATAGATATATCAGGTGACATTTCGGGCAATGGCGCTTCTTCGTAGCACATAAATAGCGCTTGTTTTTAATATATATAGTCTGTGGTATGTGTATATATTGACGGTATAGTAGCTAGGAGCCCCATCAACGGCATCCCCCTGAGAGACCTAACCCCCCCCCCACCCCTAATACAGGCCCTGAGGACGACACGCCTGACAAATCCTTTACGAACGTGATCTCTTGCATCGCCGAGTCGAGCACGCGTCTTTGACGGCGGACGATTGCCCCCTCGTCGCTGGGATCCAAACCGAGTGGTGACTCCCCCGGGTTCACGAGGCACTGCAGCCTCCCACCCCCCCGCGGATCATTTGCGTGAGATGGAATCGTGCCGGGATAGAACGGCGCCGAGATTCACACAGGGCGTATCGGACACCTTATGAGAAGGAAGGCGTGTGCGTGAATATATACCTATGTTTGTTTTTTTGTTGCTGTGAATATCGCGATACAGTATATGGAAATTAGGCAGATTTGACCGGTTTTGATATTCGTAGGGATACTCTTTGTTTTTTTCGGTAAAGTCACGTAGTTAAAATGAAGTAAAAGAAAACAACTACATTAAATCACGACGTTTCGGAGGCAACACAATCTTTCATCTTCAGGTGGAACAGTCACAGCAGCTATTCTGCTGTGACTGTTCCACCTGAAGACGGAAGCTTGTGTTGCCTCCGAAACGTCGTGATTTAATTTAGTTCTTTTATTTCATTTTACCTACGTGACTTTACCGAAAAAACCAAAGAGTATGAATCCTTGCAGTCACGAAAGCTTCCAATCTAGAATTCGCAGGGATGTTTTGCCACGCGGCACCAAGCTTAAATCATCTTCTCGAATGAAGGGGTGCCACAAGATATTCCAATGTCTTCAGGGTACTCATCAAGTTTAACATTCTCCGGGGTTTCTGGTTTCCTGCCACAGGTAAAACAATAATTCATTGACTGATAACACATGAACATATACAGAATCACAGAGCTTGGGCAATTGTTGGCGCTGGCTCACTGCCTGGCTGCCTTCCCACTCGTCTGTGGTTCCTCCTCGCAAGTCCGAGTCGTTGTTTCTCTCTACGAGAGTTAGCGAACACTGTGTGGCAGATGCGTTGACTTTGTGCTATTCACCTTTTGGCGTTCTCTGGTCTGACACTGGTGAGACTAAGCCCTAAAGATGGCTCTCTCTGGTGTAGACCAATCAGTTTCAAAGACAATGCATATGTTATCAGAGCGTGTTTGCATGTTTTGCCACAACTACACGTGGTTAATGCAGACTTGATTCCTTGCAAAAGGTTTTTAGTTGGTGTTTGAACATCTTAACGCCTCCTGTTTTATTGCCAGAAAGGAAGAAACCTCTTCTTGTTTTATCATACTTTGATACTGGCAAAAATGTCCCATTTTGTGGTGCGTTACAAGTTAATATTATTATGACATTATTATTTAAATTAAATAAACAGAATCTTACAGAGCACACCTCGTCGCTTGTGGGGGTTAATTAACGATGCTTCACCATGCCAATAAGAGCGGGTTTCTCAAGAGAGCGTGGGGCCCTGGACTGGTTCATACATCAGTTTTAGAGCGCAGTGCTCAAACCACTGCGTCACCACCACTCTCACCACTGCGTCACCACCACTCTCACCACTGCATCACCACCACTCTGACCACTGCGTCACCACCACTCTCACCACTGCGTCACCACTCTCACCACTGCGTCACCACCACTCTCACCACTGCGTCACCACCACTCTCACCACTGCGTCACCACCACTCTGACCACTGCGTCACCACCACTCTGACCACTGCGTCACCACCACTCTCACCACTGCGTCACCACCACTCTCACCACTGCGTCACCACCACTCTCACCACTGCATCACCACCACTATCCCCACTGCGTCACCACCACTCTCACCACTGCGTCACCACCACTCTAACCACTGCGTCACCACCACTCTAACCACTGCGTCACCACCACTCTCACCACTGCATCACCACCACTCTAACCACTGCGACACCACCACTCTCACCACTGCGTCACCACCACTCTAACCACTGCGTCACCACCACTCTCACCACTGCGTCACCACCACTCTAACCACTGCGTCACCACCACTCTCACCACTGCATCACCACCACTCTAACCACTGCGTCACCACCACTCTCACCACTGCGTCACCACCACTCTAACCACTGCATCACCACCACTATCCCCACTGCATCACCACCACTCTGACCACTGCATCACCACCACTCTCACCACTGCGTCACCACCACTCTCACCACTGCGTCACCACCACTCTCACCACTGCGTCACCACCACTCTCACCACTGCGTCACCACCACTCTCACCACTGCGTCACCACCACTCTCACCACTGCGTCACCACCACTCTCACCACTGCGTCACCACCACTCTCACCACTGCGTCACCACCACTCTCACCACTGCGTCACCACCACTCTCACCACTGCGTCACCACCACTCTAACCACTGCGTCACCACTGCATCACCACCACTATAACCACTGCGTCACCACCACTCTCACCACTGCGTCACCACCACTCTAACCACTGCGTCACCACCACTCTCACTACTGCATCACCACCACTCTCACCACTGCGTCACCACCACTCTCACCACTGCGTCACCACCACTCTCACCACTGCGTCACCACCACTCTCACCACTGCATCACCACTCCAACCCGATGTGCAAATACTGGAGTCTAAACAAGAGAGGAACATTTCTGATACTGTGAGCTCTTCTGATGCTGGAGATTTGAGGAATGTCGACAGTGGTGCGGCGTGGCCCCCAACCCCCTTATTAGCTGTGCGCAGATTCTGCACAACGCTTTGCACAGCTGTCAACAGGAATACGGTCCACCCGTATTCCTGTACAGGGATATTGAGATTTCAGGTCCATACGGAATACATCCGTTTCAATACGGGCGCTTTTTTGTGTCTGTATTTCTCCCTTGTGATGGGACTTTGTAGGGTGAACGTTGAGACGTGTAAGGGTGACCAATAAGGTCTGAATTGGTCTGTAATACGGTAGGGGGGCATCGATTGAGTACGTACGCATGGAGGGGGGAGGGAGGAGGTTCACCCAAATGCGTACGCTTGCGTATGGGGGGTCTACTGACAATGTACGCATAGGAAACGGGGGGGGGGGCGGGGGGTGAAGCCTCGATAATAACTTGTGTACATTGGCCTTCAAATGAGTTAGATAGTCCGGCGGTGGACTATCTGTTTGCTTAAACACGTTAATATTATTAACCCTTGACCGTTTCTGCGTGGATTCAATTTCGGCCGTTCTATAGGATTCGGGGGGGGGGGGGGTGCGTCAAGCGTACATACGCAGGTGGGGGGGGGGGGTGGCGGTGTAAAAAGTCCGCGTGCGCACGGATGGGGGGGGGGGGTCAAGTTTTGACAGATTTTTGCGTACCTACTAAATGGCTGAGCCCCTAGGCATTGATAAAGGGATGCCCGGTATGCGCTTGTACGTTGTGCGAGATCGCCGGGTGTAGCGCCTCGTTGTTTGCACAGGCTGTGGACGCGGGGTGTTCATAGCCTCTCCCATCTGCGCTGAAACGGGCTCATCTCGACGACGGACATTGCTTTCTGCACGCTGGCCGACGAATGCGCCTGCGATGTTGGCTGACAATGCAGCATTGCACAGCGTTTGGTGCCGCCTTTGTATGGGGGTTGTCGACGTTGCTCTCTGTGAATGCCCCTAATGGAACACTTGATCCGTAATTATGGCAGCAATCGCCTCCATGGGTTGTTAACCCCCGATGATATACGCCACGTGGTTTTTTTACGAGCCCTTCGCTCACACTTACCGGTGCCCTCCACATCGCCACCATCACCTCACCGTAGCCTTAACCACCCTCGTTACGTCTGTGTTTGCTTCACCAATCCCTTTCTCTTCTGTTTTTCTCTGTATCTGTAATCAGTCACTCTTTCCTATCAGTCTCTTCCGCTGGATATTCGCTTGTGTCTGTCGAGTCCAGTACTTTTTTTTTGGTCCCCATGTTTGTTTTTAAATGCTTCATTTTTTTTCAAAAATGTATAAAGGTAGAGACAGTGTCACCGGGGCTAGGTAATGCAGACTGATGGTAGATCACATCTCAAAAGCTGCTGGATTTCGTCTGTGCACTGCCACCATCCACAACCAATAAAACAAATCAACAGAAGAGTAATGTAAAATTGAACAATTCCACGAGGCCACGGGGGATCTGACAACTGCATTCCCCTTCGAGTTTAACCCCTTTGCCTCCCTGTTTCATGATCCCTTTCCCCTACTACCTCTCTGCTCCACCTCCCGTCCGTGGTGAGTAGGGAGCTGCGGGCTCTGGTGGTGGAGATGGTTCTGGCAACTGACATGTCCTGCCACTTCCAGCAGATCAAGGCCATGAAGACCACGCTACAGCAGCCAGACAGGTTTCAGCCCCGTACACGGCCCCTGATCCGTCGCTACTTTCACGGCCGCCTGTCCTATGTGCGACCGTTAGCGGGCAGTTCTGCAAATTAAGTCACCTCTTGCTAAAACATTTGTTTCCCAAAATACTTCCTATAGGGTGTCATTTTGAAGGCAATTATTGCTATGTCTAGTTTTAGAAACGGATTTTTTTTGCGAAACAAGTCGGTGCTTTGACACCGACATGAAACTGAATGCACCATCTGCATACCAGCGTGTTTAAAAAGAAAGTCGGGTTGTCTGCGTGCGCCCAATACCGTGGTATTTTATGAACATTTCTCCCTTGCCCACAAAGGGGGGGACATATGTTTTCTGAAATCTAAGTGACAGTCCCAATTGGTTCACAAAACTATGCCCAAGTAAAAAATAACAACTCACCTTTGTGCACCACACGCGCGCACTCAATAACCACATCGTTGTTGGCACCGCATCGGCGTCTTGCCTACTACCGAAGTGTGGACTTTCCTCATGCCCACCACGTCCCCTCTCTACAGCGTCATCGATAAGCCCAAGGCGATGTCCCTGATCGTGCACACGTCCGACATCAGCCACCCGGCAAAGGAGTGGCGGCTCCACCGCCGCTGGACCGAGTCCCTCCTGGAGGAGTTCTTCCAGCAGGTGAGGTCCCCCCCACCCAACCGGGGAGCGATCACGGCAATGCAACGAGCAGTAGGCACCGAACATAAAATAGGCAGTGTTTGCAGGAGCAATGCGCAGAATGTAGTTTGCAGTAAGCTTTGGGCAATAAGCAATGAGCAGAAGATAATCTACAGCAGGTAACATGTTTGCGTTGTAGCAATTCGCTCAACCACGTACGCCGTTCCTCCCATCATTTGTCTTGATTCAGGGTCGTAATTCGATCCAAGAATCTGCCTGTTTTTGTTCCATTTGCACTGCCTCATGCCTGTTGTCTCTTTTGTTCTGTCTAGTTTGTGGCACCTTATTGCTTTCATTCGTCTTAAGATATGCGCGTGTACAGGCCTTTCATCTATCAACTGCTGTACGACGGCCTCCACATGCTGTGCGGGTCTTGGGTTATTTTAACCATACTTCACCATGCTGATCGGCGTGTGTTGGTGAAAGCGGGTGTTGGTGGTGGGGAGGGGAGATGCAGGAGCATAGGAATACAATACAACAGTGTATTTTGCCGCACTGCTCTCTGCTGTCCACCACTTGTAGCCCTCTGGGTCTACGTAACCTAAAACGAGTACTGTACGTGGTATAGTCAGTCCAACAGCAACAATGGGGATGCAAAGGTGGCTATGTGTGCGTGATGCAGGCATAGCAAACCCAAATTATTCATATGAGTTGTATTATTCCAGAACTCACGTGGCTTTGCCGACATCACTTTGCCCCAATAATCTATCTAAGCTGATGGACAAATGTGGTCACGGTGTTTTTGTGATTGACAACCGGCAAGTGCACACAGCCACGAGTAGGTTTGCCATGGGTACACAAGTGTATTTGCTTAACCAGATGAGCAGTAAATGTCTTCGTCTCTTAAGCATTACTTTTACTCTTTTTTGAGTCTCTGAATAGCTTGAGTGGTGTTGGCCACTGTTATCCCAAATGCACATCCTTCAGTTCAGTTCAGTTTATTTCAGTTTATTTTGGTATAGCCCTGTGAGCCATTCGGCTCTTGAATCGGGTGCAACCACAACAAACAAACAAAACAAAAACACGAACAAGAAAAACATCTTAAAGTGACTATGTGACTGTGCAAACAGAAAATCCATGGAAAAAAAAACTGCAAAAATATTCCTGAAAAAAGCACCGTACACCAACGCTGTGTGCAAAAAATCCCAGTGGGATGCAAGTCAAACAGCAACAACAACCATAAAAACTTAGATTAAGGCCATCAGTCTAACAACAGGATGCGCGACCATTGAGGCGCTCAAACCTTTTGTGCGTGATCTTGATTATTGTTGTTTGTTTAATTCAAAGATGACAACCCCTAACCGCATTGCACGAGAGGTATTGATGAAAACACGAGGGAGGCGTCTGTAGTGAAACAAATAATGGACATTGATTGGTAACGCGTGGCGTAAGTCCAGGAAGCGATTTCACATGGGGGGGGTAGGGATTTTACTGACTATAATTATTGACTTTGTCCTCGGGACTCGGCTTTCAGTTGTCTTCGCCAATCTCTGCGCGGAGCTATGAGCTGCGGAGCGGCGCCCCTTCTTGGCGTGTGGTGGGCTCCTTTTCCATGTACTCGGGTTCCCTTTCACGAGAAGCCAAACTCTCATCATCGGAGCTGGACAAGCATGCACATTTAGCAGGGCCCTCCTTTAAAAAAACGAGTCTTAAGACTCGGTGAGGCTTCCCAAGATTAAACACGTTATTATTTATTATTGTAGCATTATTATTATTATTATTTCAAAGTACATACACCACATTCAGGCAACAGCACCTGTTATGTGTTCATTACAGTTACGGTATTTTTCAATCTGCTATTGGATGAATGTGCCCTCGTGCCGTGTCGTTTACGGGAGGATTGCTTGACCATACTTCACCACACTGGTGCGGCTTGGTGAAAGTTATTTTCTTTTTTCTTTTATCCCCCCCCCCCCCACCAATGTAAAATTGACAAATCGAACGCCGTGTTGAGTTTCTGTCCTCGCTGCGCTTCATGTTGACGCAGGGAGACCGCGAGGAGGAGCTGGGCCTGCCCTTCTCTCCGCTGTGTGACCGCAAATCCACCATGGTACCGCAGTCACAAGTCGGTGAGTTCCCCGCACTGTTATTGGTTGGTTACAACTATCGTTGAGTCCCCGTGAGTCATAGCCACGATCTATTCCATGCTGCATGAATGCCCTCCCCAAACTGCCCCAAGCTGCCACACCGTTCAGATGCAGGTTCCCCTCGCTGTAGATGCATTCCAGAAAAAGGGGGCGTACCTGACAGAACCACACGAGGAGACAGCTGCCTGCAAGAGAGCGCACACAGTACACACAGACAATGTTGTCCCACGTCCGACTGTATATGGGTGAATTCAAAGTGCACGACATAGCGAATATTTGGTAGAAATGGTTTAGCCACACATACGTGAAATTGCACAAAACGAACCTGCTTCAAATAAGGGAAACCTGTACTTTGGAGATGCGTGTAGCTATTAGCATAATTATCAAGTGTATCTTTTTTATTTGGTCATAGCATGTCAAACAATTCGGACTGTAATGGAGATAAAAAAAATAATGTGTCTCCTGTTCCCAATAAGGGAGAATGCAGTGCAATGGTATTAGACATACTCCAGATGAACTGGCTTTTTCACGTGCGCTGGGATGGTGGTGGAACATTCTGCGTCACGTTCCATGTCGATCCATTGACTCGTTCCACAAATAAGCCGCTGCAGTTTTTATAAAATTATATATATTTACTCTCAAAGGGAAACCCCATATATATTGTACACGCACGTGTACAGTCCGTTTTTCGCACACAGTATGGGGGTTAGGGGCCATCCATAAATGACGTGACGCACCTGGGGAGGGGGGGGGGGGCGATGTGTGACGAGGGGGGGGGGAGATTTGAGAAATGTGACATCACATCAAAATGCGCAACTTTAAATAAATATAGAATTGTTATAGCAACACTAATTGTTATAACAACATTCCTCAACATGAGAGTGCAGCGCCACATTAAATACGCACAACAATGACAATAGTGTAAAGCGATTTGAAGCATGTTTTATTTTCAAAATGGAAATATGGTTTTGGGGGGCGGGGGCAGAGCTTTGTGACGTCATATTTGAGGGGAGGTCTGACTTTTTGTGACGCCGTGTGACGAGGGGGGGGGGATCAAAAATCGTCCAAAATCACGTGACGTCACTTATGGACGGCCCCTTATTTGACCATACTTCACCATGCTGGTTGGTTGAGGTTGGTGAACGCTGGGAGCATAGACGTTACAGCATGGTCCAGTACAACAATGGATTTTGCTCACACTGCCTTCGTCTACCTCCAATGTATCCCCAACAGCCTGAAACACCTGTTCCATACACTGTGGACACCCATGCAAGCACTACCGACGCTCAGACCTGCTTAGCTTCGAAGATCAATGAGATGTGCTGGTTAGTGTGGGTCGGTGAGGGCAAAGGTGCAATAATGTGGGAGCACAGAGGTACAATTCAACAGTGCATCTAGAATCGCTGTCCTCTGTCCCACAACGTATACCCGGCACCCGTGTGTGTAATTACGTCGATGACTACGACCAACTCTCGCCGTGGGGCTGCGTTCATTTGTAGAAGTGCCCGACCGACACGGCGCTCGGGAGGGGCGATTTATTTTGAAGCGGCCGGGGCCGTCGGGAGCTCGCTGTCGTTTTCCCCGCGCGGGCGTCGTGCGCCGCAGGCTTCATCGACTTTATCGTGGAGCCCACGCTGTCGGTGCTCACGGACATGGTGGAGGGCATCGTGGCGCCGCTCGTCAAGGAGGCTGTGCGCGCCGCGTCCAGCGCCAAGCGCCGCTCGAGGTGAGAGCCCGAGGGGAGGGGGGCCGCGTCGTGGGACATCGCCGGCATGGCCGACTTCCTCCCTGCCGTTGTCGCTGTTGCAGTCGTCGTCGGCATCATCTTCGATCGTCATCCATCATCGATATTGTTGTGAAAGACCCAACGCAGAAGATCCCAGGGTTTGATCTTCCACAAAGCTCACGGTCCACCCTACATCGCGTCCATGCAAACCGTGGCAGATGCGGATACCTGATGCACAAATGGACAATTTGAAACTCTCCAGTGTGTGACCGTGGCCATCCAGAACAGACCATACAATATATAACGACACAATGCCCAATTCACAAATACGAAGGAGACATCGCAGCGACACACTCCGCTGCTCCTGACACGGTTGTCTGGCTCGACCACCTGTATGTGAAATTGAAGTTGTTGCTCTGCATCGACATCAGCAGCCGTACGAAAGAAGGAGATCATATATCATTGCCATAGTCATTGACGTCCATCATTTATCATCATCCAACGTCGTGATAATCGTTACCGTTCATCTATCATTTATCATCATCCAACGTCGTGATAATCGTTACCGTTCATCTATCATTTATCATCCGTCCATCCACCGTCACTAGGATTATTGAACAAGCACCTTCCAGAGTTGGGTAGGCAGTTGCGTAGCTATCGAGCGTGGAGGCAGTGCAACTGCACTGGGGCCCATGGAGCGGGGATAACGGTGGCCTGTTGAAGTGACTGCGTGACTCATGCTGTGGTGTCGTCTTCAGGAGCCATTCCCTGGACTCGATGTAATGCTCTGTTAACTGAAGAAATTAAATAAAATATGTCTGTTCACACCTTCACACGTCGTGCTTGGCTGGTGGCTCCAGGTTGCCCAAGGCCACAATCTCCGGCTCAGGTTTTCTGGCTTCCAGTGATAACATGTGCAGGTGGATTCACTGAGTTACTGGAATTCGCTGGAAACATATTCATCATCACCATCATCATTGCCTTCTCACAGAGATAGAATCGCAAAAAGACCCCATAGCCTTGCACAGAAGCCCATATTCTCACAGAGAGACCCATTTAGAAACTCAAATGTCCTGGCAGTGGCTTTATCAGAAGCACTGTCTCCACCATATGGGGTGCATGCAGCCCATGCAGCTTCCCGCGGGAACTGGTCTTGTGGGAACCCAGCATTAGGTCCATTATCATCACCTCCACATGCTGCATTTGCATTCCAACTATCAATGAATCCACCTGCGTGAGTCACCTGAGACTGGAAAACCCAAGGCGAACTTCAATGAATCTCCAAACCGGAGTGACAAACCAGCACTAATGATGGTGCAGTTGGAATATAATTGGTACATAACAAACCGTGTGTCCTAAATAGGCACCTAACGTCGATTAATCGACTGAAGTCGACTCTTACGGCCACAATACAGGCATGAAATTCTGCGCGTAAGAATCGATTTGATTTAAACGTTCATGTTGTATGCGATAGATTCTCGTAAACCCTGCAGTCAATAGAGATTCCACACACACCGAATTGTAAGTCGAATCCCATCGTTGAATTGAGAGTTTCACCAAATCGCGTAGTGGGGGTGATTTGTTACACACCTTCTCCCTCAATGCGTGTTTTTCTTTTCTTTCTGCCCCCCCCCCCCCTCCGTAATTTCCTGAGTGCAGTGTCGGGGGCATGGAGGTGAGCCAGAGAGGCGGTAAAGCCAGCCCCGCCCCGGGCTCCGTGCTGTCCGTCGACATCGCGTACTTCGGAGCGGCGTGGCGCGAGTGCATTGTCTACAACAAGGAGCGCTGGAAACAGCTCGACATCATAGGTGGGGGAGGGGGGGGGGGAGCCCACTCGGTGATAATTTTGGTAACTTCTTTGGTTCTTTCGGTAAAGTCACGTAGAATGAAAATAAAATAATAAAATAAAATAAGCACTGTCGTCCCGACAGTTCTGTTCTTTCAACTGATGAAGGCTGCTTGTGTTGTGGCCGAAACGTCGTGAGAATTTTATTGTCTTATTTTATTTTATTATTTTATTCTCATTCTACGTGACGTTACCAAAAGAACCAAAGAAGATGAATCCTTGCAGTCACGAAAGCTTTAAATCAAAATTTTGGTAACGTTAAACTTTTAACGCGCCTCTCTACCAGAGCGAGTGAACAGCGTTCACTCGCTCTGGTAGAGAGAGATGACGACTTGGAGGTGCGAGGAGAAGGAACCGCAGACGCGCGGGAAGGCAGCGGCCATGTGATGAGCTGGTGCCAACAATTGGCCAAGCTCTGCGGTCCTCTATGTATTAAGCTGTTATCGGCTAATTTAAGGATTGTTTTACATGTGGGAGGAAACTAGGGAACCCGGAGAATGTTAAACTCGATTAGTACCCTGTAGGCACTGGAATATCTTGGGGTACCCCTTCATTAGGGAATAGGATTTCAGCTTGGTTCCCCGTGGCTAAAATCCTTACAAAAGAAAAAAGAAAGTTAAACCTGCCTAATTTCAATATACCACATCACGGCAATTCACGTGGAAGAAAACCTAAGCATGCGGAGAAAATCCACGCTATAATTAATTAATAGTTAATTGTTTGATTATACATAAATATAAAATCATTTTGAAAATGACCATGATTTTATTTCGAGCCGGGATAATAATAACAACAGTAATGGCCGATGGCTAAAATGACCCCTGAATGCACCTGAGTTCATGGATCTCCGAAGCTAGACAGGGTTGAGTCTCATTGGTAAAGAGCTTGCCACGTGGTGTAGGTGTGAACTTCTGAGGTGACCAAGAGATGGGATTGGCCACGTGTGCTGCGAACGAAAACTCTACACACATACAAGTCTCTCCCTCGTATGCACGGGTTTTCTCCAGGTTATCCGTTGCTCTCCCACATGCCAATCATCATTGCTGGGATTGTTTTGAAAAGTCTTGAGACTGACTCCTTGAGGATGTTGCATTATTATTATTAATTTCAAGAAATACATTATTTCTGTTCTTTGTTGAGCATGGTGGTGGGTTCGAGTCTGGTTCATGCAGACACCAGCAGATATACAACGATCCTATGAATGACACCAGCAGAAGAGTCCTGCTCACATGATCCACGAACTTCACCAGACAGCACGAGCTGCTGCCTCGATGTGCTATGATAAATGCATCATGGCGTAAAAGCACAAGTTGGTCAAAACTTGTTATGTTCATTCAACTGCCATGACATTTAATCCGGCTGTTTGTATTCATGTCTCGTTAGTATTAGCATAACCTCCAAATCCTGGAATCCAATGTAAGTTTATTTTTACATCTCAGTCGACCACATGTGTTTCGAAGAGGCTGGAAACTGCTGTACAGTATAGCTGTGGCACCCAATGAAAGTTCTCGGTGCAAATTACAAATGAATCATCGGCAGGGGCGGAGCCACGGGGGGGCTGGGGGGGGCTCAGCCCCCCCTGATATTTTGGGAAAGTCGGTAATCGGGATAACCGGATATCTGGCTGCTGCAAAATGCTGCAGGCTGTCACCTTGTGCTGCCCTGCAGGCTGCCACCTTGTGCTGCCCTGCAGGCTGCCACCTTGTGCTGCCCTGCAGGCTGCCACCTTGTGCTGCCACCTTGTGCTGCCCTGCAGGCTGTCACTTTGTGCTGCCCTGCAGGCTGCCACCTTGTGCTGCCCTGCAGGCTGCCACCTTGTGCTGCCCTGCAGGCTGCCACCTTGTGCTGCCCTGCAGGCTGCCACCTTGTGCTGCCCTGCAGGCTGCCACCTTGTGCTGCCCTGCAGGCTGCCACCTTGTGTGCTGCCCTGCAGGCTGCCACCTTGTGTGCTGCCCTGCAGGCTGCCACTTTGTGCTGCCCTGCAGGCTGCCACCTTGTGCTGCCCTGCAGGCTGCCACCTTGTGCTGCCCTGCAGGCTGCCACCTTGTGCTGCCCTGCAGGCTGCCACTTTGTGCTGCCCTGCAGGCTGCCACCTTGTGCTGCCCTGCAGGCTGCTTGAGCGGCAGCCTTTCGGACTTATCGAACTTATTAGCCACATCAGCGGCTCCGACCGATTAATAAACTGCACGTTCAAATCCAATAAAATGTGTTTTATACATTTGTGGCGCCCATTGGAAAACATAAACACTGTATATCTCAGAATATTGAAGTCAGCCCCCCCCAAAGTCAAAATCCTGGCTCCGCCCCTGATCATCGGCATTATTAACACGTAGGCTTTCGCCACCAATATCATCCATAAATCTGGCTGTCGGGTGATGAAGCTAGTTGTAATTACTGGCGAAACGACGGAATCAGATTGTAAATGTTGTGGCTTGGCTCTCCAACACACCGGTGTGCTGTACTAGTGACGAATTGGCATGTTCTGTTTACGTGACATCCCTTACTAGTTGGCTGTGTCGGGTGGTGGCGGGTTTTAACGACACATTTATATATTTACGCGATCTAACCCAAAAAACCCTCTATTATGGAGCATTATTACCGTTGACTCCGAGAGATGATCGCGTTATCGTCGGGTTACAATAACGTCGTGCAGTGCCCGGAGCGGCGGTACACGCCGTCAAGCCGCTGCTCTGAGGGCACGGCGAGTGATTCACGCTCACCAGACTCTCGACCTGCAGGGAGTTATGAGGTGGCCTGTCGCAGCCAGTACAGGAACCAGGTCGTCTGGTTTGAATGTCACATGCTTGTGTGTTTATGTTCCCCCCCCCACCTCATACCCATGCATTTCCTCTGATAATTAGTTTTCTCCCACATGTAAAAGCACTTAGTAAGTGGTTGTAAAAAAACAAAAAATGCATGACCGTCATCAAAAACAGTCTCGAGACTGAGGTGAGACGTTCCTGAATCAACACGGCAGTAATACATAGATTTCTTCCGAACTTCTTTTTCCGCAGAGAGGAACTCGGCCAGGAGCCAGCCAGAACACCCGAGTAATGATTTGTAATCATCGTCCGATTATTCCCTTTTTATAGACCAACGCCTCAAAAAGGGACTGTCGGTCGATAAAGCGGCGGACGAGGAGGACATGGCGGCTGCCAAGCCCAGCGAGACGAAGCCAGAGCCACCGGAGGAGGAACAACCGGTCATAGTCATGACCCCACGGAGACGAGCCAGAGCGCCCCTTTCCCGGAACGGGAGTCGAAGCCGCGTGGGCAGCGGGAGGTCGGTGGGCATGGGAGAGAAGGCGACCAATGGGAAGACCAACGGCAGCTTCAGCAGCACGGACGACGGCGATCCCCGGACCATGACGCCCGGTAGCGACTCGGGGAACTTCGCCGCGATCGATGGTAAAAAAATAAAAACGACAAGGAAGAAAAACCGTGCATATTTCATGGCTCCTGTATCGCTTTCCCAGCATGTGTTTGTCCACTGAAGTATTTAATGGCGGTACGGTCGTCGATGGCTGGCTGCCACGGAAAAATGTTTGTACATATTTATGAATAGTCCTTGACGTGCTGATTTGTATTTGTAGGTTTTGGGCTGGCCCTTTGATTCGTTTATCCGGTTTTCTAAAAGGCGAGTCTGTAATAGCAACATTAAGTTTTGTGAATATTGGATTATCTTTCAAAAAGTTTTCTTTACCCATTGTTCCCAACAGACAAATAAATAATAGACATACTGTACATCAAATACATCTGCTGACTTTATTTATGCCCATTGCAAGAGTACTGCTGCCATGGTCCAAACACAATTAGTATAAGGTGAGCCTATGAATACTGGATGGCCATTATTGCAATGGAGACTTACTTACTGGTACATTAAACAGTACATGTGCAGAAAATGTATGAATCTGTTGGATGGATTCCCCATGCTGCTTTAAGGATGGGGCATTGTTTGACAATACTTCGCCATACTGGTCATTGTGGGATGATGAAGAATATCACTCGCCACTGATGTTAGCCATCGGTGGGAATCAAACTCAAGATGAAATGTTCATAGTTCAGTGCGCTAAGCACTACACCACTGTTCCACCCCAGATGAAACATTTAGGGAGATCGCTTATGTGACCTGTTGCAGCTTTTCTACCTCTCCCCTATCATATGGCAATTCTTCCTTACTCGTACATAGCCCCAACTCCAACAATCAAGGACGCCACCGGACGGGACCCAGCGTCAACCGCCTGTCATTGGGAGGGTCACTCCTCCTGCTCTAGTGCACCTGTTGTCTGAAACCCATTCACCCTGGCTCTCAGCACTGTTGACTTCCTCTTCGTCTTAACTCTAAACTTCGTCTGCCCCATTCGCCGATACCGCCTCCCCCACCTCATTACAGACGCCCCCCCCCAACAGTCATCTACTAGCTCCTTGAACGCCATTCCTCGCCACCCATCACGCTCCGTCTCTGCAAGTTTACCAATCTCCTCCATTCTGATACGACCTGTATTCGTGACACGCTGCGCTCGCCTGATGACACGTTAATATGTTCCACGTGATGTAAAGAGCGCTGATCTGCAGATATAGATTTTGTGTGTGTGTACACGAGAAATGTCCCTCATGATACGGTCACTCAGGCTTTCTCAGGTCGCTCTTGTTAATGAGAATTACCCTGGTCTCTTGAGATCTCACCTGGTTAAGCAAAATACGCTTGATATGGAAAGTGCTAATTCAAATGTATAGGGATCGTGTGCGTGTGTTTGTGTGTACGTGTAATGTCCCATGGGGACCGGTAGTGTAGTGGTTATCGCACTGTGCTACGAACTCGGTGACTCAAGTTCGTATCCAACATTAGAATATCTGAAACTGGTTCTGGGCATCAGCTAGGTCGACTCAGCCTTACATGAATACCCAATGCAGTGTGTAAACATCAGCTTTGGGGAGAAGACAAAGGCGGCCGGGAGTGGTGCTGGCCACCCACCTCCATGTGTACCGTGCCAGCCTTAATATGTGCTTGCTAACAGCACTTGCCCCAATAATTTATTAAAGCCTTTATGGGGGATTTTTGTCTTTGTGTAATGTCCCACGTGACATAGATTACGATTGAACTTACCTAAGATGGAGAAATTGTGTGTTTTTTTTATTGCACGGCCCTCATCCAGCAGTGGATTGGCAAAAGGGGCTGTACATGTGCATACAGCTCACTTATTATTGAATTGTCAGATGCTGTAGCTTGTATGATAGCTGCTGCCATTGTCACAAGCGCTGATGTTATTGCTGCTGTTGCCATGTGCAGACAGCCCAGAGGGGAGCAGCAAGGGACAGAACGGATCGTCTCCATCGCAACGGCAGCTCCCGTTGGAGGAACAAAAACAGGTGGAGGAAGGTGAGATACAAGCCGATTTACTTGAATAATAAATAATCTGCCACCGAGTTCATTTTTATCCGTAGCGCAGTGGGGCCTTGCGAGACTTCTCACCTGGAGCTGCCAGGCAACCCAATGAGATGTACGTGCGTTTCCTGCTAAGGGAGTGCATGGTCCGAGAGTGTGGTGGTGGGTTGGGGTGGGTTTGTACCGCAATGTTTTGCCAAATTAGCAGGCGTAATGTTTGGAGTACAGCTTCTTAAATGTGATTTTGAATGGAGGTGTTGCCTATTATTCATGCATCTATTCGTAATTTATTTAGTGCCTTGGTCAAGGCGCGATACAGGTAATTAATAATGGTACATATGAATGTAATGGCGAAGATGAGGTGAAATAAAACAGAACCTGTGATACGTGAATAAGTGAATTGCTATAATCCAGGCGTCAGCAACCTGCAGCTCCGGAAACCCGCATGCGGCTGTTTATGGACTGCTACGTGACGTTACGCACAAACACCGTGCCTTTTGAAATATTGAGCTTTTAAGCAAAGTCGAACAAAAAATTGGCTCTCTCTGTCATATTGGTTGCCAAACCCTGGTACAGTCATAAGTGTACGATTTAGTGGGGCCATTAACACGTTAATTCATAACATCGTATCCATGTAATTAATGAGTTCACTGACGTGTTCGTTCGTAAACTCGTACAGATGTAATTAGTGAGACCATTAATGCATTAATCAATGAACTCGTACGTGTATAATTAGTGAGCCCGCTAATAGTTTATTAACAAACTCGTATTCGCGTAGTGTGCCCATTTCTGTGTTCATTCATAAACGTACATGCATGTAACTGGCGATTTTATTAATGCATTCATTCATAAGCTTTCACAAAAATTGCATATGTAAATTTTCTCATTCTTAAGGTGTGTATTGTATATGTATAATTATACGTAAAACGCTTTGTTAAATACAACGCTACATGTAGACAACCGTGGTTAATACTACGCACAAACTTATCCCACCGTAAGAATTAGCAAATGGGAAATCAGAGTAGCGTCACTTTAGCTCCTACTGCAAAGCCCCGTTGCCTTTTAGTAATTTGACTTCCTATTATATTATATTTATACAGCACCTTTTACTCGAGGCGCTTAACATAGTTTACAAAACGGCAACACAAAAACACGATTTGGATAGCAGGGGCGTGCACGGACTGCGGGATGAGACACCACGATAGAGGGTCACGAAAGGGTCGGGGAGGGACGAGGAGGAGTGGAGGGGTGAGGGGAGGGAAGTAGAGGTGAGGCTTCAAGAGAGGATTGATGGACAGTATTGGTTCATTGTCATGATAAATACGATAAGAGGTTGAAGTGTGTACGCGGTTTTGTTTTCAGCTCCATCGTAAGTGATCTCTGTGCTGCTCCATGTGAAGTGTGACTTTTCACGAATGCCCCCATTTTTACTTTTAACATATTTCTCCCCGTGCATAACGATGCAAGTGTGTTTCTCTCCCACAGGTATTTTTAACATTTCTTTTTTTAGTTTCCAGGGTTTGTGTCGAGGACATCTCGAGTGTTTTTCTGTTTAGATAACTTAGGTCTTTTTCTTTCAGGCTCTGAAGTCGCAGCGGATCAGTAGGAATTGGGGGAAGCAGCTTCTCCAAGGTTGAGCTACCACTTCCTCAATTTACCATCTCAATCATACAATACCTTGAAAACAACCTCTACCTGACCAAACCAATGCATGACCTAACTTCCCATTCCCACATTCCATTTTGCTAACCAGGGTGGACTTGCTGTGATATTGTGCATTTTTGGTCATGGATGCTTCCCTTCCTTCACTGCCTACAGTGAGGGAAAAAAATATTTGATCCCCTGTTGATTTTGTACGTTTGCCCACTGACAAATAAATGATCAGTCTTTAATTTTAATAGTAGGTTTATTTGAACAGTGAGAGACAAAATAACAACAAAAAATCCAAAAAACGCATGTCAAAAATGTTATAAATTGATTTGCATTTTAATGAGGGAAATAAGTATTTGACCCCTCTGCAAAACATGACTTAGTACTTGGTGGCAAAACCCTTGTTGGCAATCACAGAGTTCAGACGTTTCTTGTAGTTGGCCACCAGGTATTGGGTCATTGTCATGCTGGAATACCCATCCACGACCCGTTTTCAATGCCCTGGCTGAGGGAAGGAGGTTCTAACCCAAGATTTGACGGTACATGGCCCCGTCCATCGTCCCTTTGATGCGGTGAAGTTGTCCTGTCCCCTTAGCGGAAAAACACCCCCAAAGCATAGTTTCCACCTCCATGTTTGACGGTGGGGATGGTGTTCTTGGGGTCATAGGCAGCATTCCTCCTCCTCCAAACACGGCGAGTTGAGTTGATGCCAAAGAGCTCCATTTTGGTCTCATGTGACCACAACACTTTCACCCAGTTGTCCTCTGAATCATTCAGATATTCATTGGCAAACTTCAGACGGGCATGTATATGTGCTTTCTTGAGCAGGGGGACCTTGCAGGCGCTGCAGGATTTCAGTCCTTCACGGCGTAGTGTGTTACCAATTGTTGTCTTGACAAGATCCTCCCGTGTAGTTCTGGGCTGATTCCTCACCGTTCTCATGATCATTGCAACTCCACGAGGTAAGATTTTGCATGGAGCCCCAGGCCGAGGGAGATTGACAGTTCTTTGTGTTTCTTCCATTTGCGAATAATCGCACCAACTGTTGTCACCTTCTCACCAAGCTGCTTGGCAATGGTCTTGTAGCCCATTCCAGCCTTGTGTAGGTCTACAATCTTGTCCCTGACATCCTTGGAGAGCTCTTTGGTCTTGGCCATGGTGGAGAGTTTGGAATCTGATTCATTGATTGCTTCTGTGGACAAGTGTCTTTTATACAGGTAACAAGCTGAGATTAGGATCACTCCCTTTAAAAGTGTGCTCCTAATCTCAGCTCGTTACCTGTATAAAAGACACCTGGGAGCCAGAAATCTTTCTGATTGAGAGGGGGTCAAATACTTATTTGCCTCATTAAAATTCAAATCAATTTATAACATTTTTGACATGCGTTTTTCTGGATTTTGTTGTTGTTATTCTGTCTCTCACTGTTCAAATAAACCTACCATTAAAATTATAGACTGATCATTTCTTTGTCAGTGGGCAAACGTACAAAATCAGCAGGGGATCAAATACTTTTTTCCCTCACTGTAACTCCCCTCCACCACCTTGATAACAAAAGAACAAAAAATCCCCCTTCTGTTTTGTGCTTTGGTCGAGGCGGCGGCTCACTTCCCTCGCTCTCTTCTTCCCTTTCCCCAGCCTCGGTCGGCGTCGTGGGCCTCAAGTTCATGGGGGATGACAGTGACCGGCCCCCGTACTGCGCCAGTTACCACACCAGCCCAAGCCCCCCGGACACGACGCGTCGGTCCGGCAGCACGGACGCCCGCACCAAAGCGCGCAGGCTACGTCGCCTCAGCATGAGGGCCAACGTGCTGCGCTAGCCGATGCAGCGCGTTCCGTTTTCTCGTCACCGTCACTCCACTGGTCCTGGCTCCTTGGAGGCGACGTGGAAGCGATGGTGTCTGGTGTGGACAGCTGCCCCCTCTACCCACCAGGGGGAAGGAACAGGAGCTGGGATTGCGGTGGCGGCGGTGGTGCTGGTGGTGGAGGCAGCTGCCGCTTCAGAATGGAAACTTACGATTGAAGACTTCCGTTCCGCTATGCCGCTTCAATGTTTACAGGACGAGACATTTTGTGTTCTTAAGACAGAACCAAAGCTTCAGAATAAAAAAATATATATTATATTGTAAGCAAATTAAATGAAAACAAAAAACGTCTTTTTTTTCTTCTGATTCTCAGAGAATGTAGGAACCGAGGTAGATTAAGCATACGAGTAGATATTGGGGTCTAATTTTCCTCACTTGACCTCCAGAGGCCAAGGAACGAGGGGCAAAATTAAGAGCGAGATTATGGTCCGGTGTCTCCACTTTGAAATTCGCCGCCACAGACCGCACGGAGGAGCACGGACGCGGAGTTGGTATAAACAGAACGACCCCATCGCACGTCGGGCGCCAATTGTGCTATTCAGTCCCACACCCTTGTTGCCTTGCCCCAGCTGTTCACAGTCGGGCGGAGAGAGGACCCTCCTGTGCACTCCGGCGTTGGCCGAGCGACCGTACAAATCGAACCGTCCGCTGCGCGGCCGACTGCTCGAATCCGAAGGCCACGTAGTGGCACAGTAAGACTCTTTGCCGTACCTTTGTTGCCTATCGCTCAAAGCCGTGGACGTTGAGGCAGAGAGCCTCAGAGGCGGACCACTGAACCCCCCCCCTCCACCTTTATTTACTGTTCTTAAGAAAACGCAGGAAACAAAAGTTGTATTTTATTGCTTCGACTTACAAATTCAGGCTTACTTTTTCATGGCAGCAGCATTTCGATTTTGTTAAAAAAAAACACCAGTAAGGGTATGTCTGTGGAAAGCACGCCAATCCTCACAGGGTGTAAACTCTGCGGTGGCTCTTCAGTGCCTGCATCTCTTGAGCGTTGTGGCTGCGATTACACCTCCCCGTGCACATCGGGGTAGGGGGCAGTGCTGTACCGCACAGTTGGACTTGGCCGCCTAAATCCGCGTTTGGTGTGAATTGTCCTTGCTCCCTTGTCACTTAAACCAGCTGTTGATGCCCTTGTCGCGTTCATCTTAGCTATCACATGGACAAGCATGTGACATTGATTGACATGCAATAAGGAAATTAGTGGACGTGGCTGAATGTCTCAGGGCTTCCAGTATCTGTGTCGGGAGTGCTTAGCCAGCAACACGAACATCTTGGGTGTCACATTCTGGGCTTTTATATATATAAAACAAATAATTTCCAGGCTTTTGTTAATCCACTGTTCGATGAAGGCCTCACCACGCACTGACTAATATGTGCTCCAGCAACATGAGCTTTAACCTGAGATTAAACTAAGTATAGGGAATTGATATACCCTAAACTTTATTATATATTAGTTCGCCACTTATTTACAACTATCATCACCTCTGTGCAGTGGGGATGAATGACTTGCTGCATTTCCATGACGAATATAAACAGATCCAAGCCACGCCTGAAATGTGTGCCTCAAGCACAATTGTATAAAAAGTAGTTTTAACGCATACTGACGTTGGCTTCCATTACCCAGAAGCTAACCACCGTTATTTTGTATAAAAAAAAGAAATTTATGGGCCCGAAGTTAACCTTAATGGCGCTCGTCTCTTCTGAGTTGGCCCCCATGACATCGCGACTGTTCAAGAGGGTGGGCCTCGCTTAAAGCAAGCGGTGTTAGCCACCTTGGCCAAAGGGAGCCACACCACGCGGGCCCAGAGAAAAGTTGAACCGCAGAACTTGAGCACGCGCTCGTCACAAGGCTGCCGTGGGAATCCGGACTACAAAGTAGTCGTGGGAACAAGTGGCACAAGTGGCACGAAGCCACACGTGAGGCGAACGAGTACAAGCGTAAGCAATTTGTTTCTCAAGTTTATTCAGTAATTTATTTTGCCCGTTTTGGTTTGGGGCCGGAGGGCACTGGTGTGCAAAGAAGTGGCGGTAAAGGTGGCCTTTGTAGCCGTCTTGCATTATATTGCGTCATTAAACAGTTACGGCTCATTTTACACTTGTGTATGATTATTATACGATGTATATTGTATATTAACACCGGTAATAATGGGAATTAAGATTTCCATATGTATTTCATGAAATGAATTGAGATGGATTTAATGTAATTTATTTTTTTCCCAATTTGTTAAACTGTATTATTACTGTAATTGTAATTACAAAAAATGCACAAAAGTCATAGGTGCTGAACCATACGCGGGTTGCATCAACAACTGTTAAGCATAAGGCTGTCATACCGGATCTCAGTTATGATAGATTTGCAATGCAAATGCCGAAGTCCAGCCTCAAGAGCGTTTGCTGCATATACAAATACGTGAGGACACTAAAGTCCATTCCTCAGAAGTACTGGCACCATGGAACTTGATGTGGTCTTTAATTAATATGCCCTGTCCTGAAGGTCAATGACACCAAACCACCCGTTCTGGGCCTGACCTAAAGTTGAGCCCTGCTTTGGCCATCCTCACATCCCTTCAGTAACCTGGCCATTTAGTGTTCATGGCTCATGGTTTAAAATTCTTGAGAGAAATATAAATGATAGGGAATTCAAGAAAGATCACTTTTTAAAAAACAAATATTTACATTAAAACTGCATTATATGAGAGTGGTTCAAGGATAACCTGAACTTTGAGATGTGTAGAATTAAACCTAAGTGAATTATTCGTACTGTTTTTCAACGTATTTCCCTGCTACACATGCAATTGACCCATAGGTGTTGTGACACCTTATTGCCGGTAGCGTATAGAGTTTTTTACAAGTACGCAGACATTGCAAGACATGTGCTTTCATATCCTCATCACGTTGTATTTACTCATTTCCACTTTTAAACCTAATGCACCTAACACACCTATGCATGAGACACGCATAGCAAAAATTTACATCTGACCTCGTGTAAATTTCAACTACTGACACTTCCCTTCACCAAAAATGTCATAACAATGCTGCCCCACAACACGTGACAAGACTTTTATTCCGCCATCTTGGAAAATACCCCGACTGCTTTGCACAGCCGAGATGTCATTTCACACTGGAGTTGCCAAATGTTGCCATTCCAACCCCACAATCTTCCAACAGTGATCTATCATTCTATTCCCATTATCTAGAACAAAAAGTACAGGTTAACCTTGAAACGCCCTTGTAGATAAAAGCCAGTGAGGGAGAGTTGGTAATTTGTTGAAAGGAAATAACATGTACTGCACCATCGTCCTGCCCCTTCAAGTTTGTTTCCATTTGCATTTGTTTAAACCACGCGACCCTGGACCGGTTTTTACTTCACTCATTAGTAATGCACACGCATTTATTCACAAATGTTTAGCCTTGGGTAACTGGACAATGCCACTGTGGGGGTAACAATCTCAGTGCATCTTTGGGCTTCAGTTTTTGGTTACACTGTATTAAAGTTCTTTTTTATTCGTGCATTGACAATGGCGTCCATAACGGCATTTACTTAAGAGATATGTGGCTCTGTGCGAAGATTCTCCAGAAAATAGTTTGATGTTTGATGCATTTTAAATGTTCATTAACTTTTTTGGCAATGGAGATACATGTATTTGTTTTCTGTAACAAGGAGAATGTCGCATACCATTTATTATTGTTTTACCCAGTACAGCACTGACGGAAACAAAGAGAGACCGAATACTGTGACTTCATTTTTTTCTCCATTTTTTTGTGTGAAATCCTCTGCATTAGATGAATAAACAAATACCGTTTCATGTAAACCAATAAATCCGTTGTTGAAGGCCTTTTTGGAACGCTCAATTCACATTGATTCGTGTATTTGCTTACTGTGTAAGAATTATATTATCGTTAATAAATAAGCATCATTTTTAAGGGTAGCTGAAGTAGCTGTCCTGGGTCATCGATTTATTTTAAGGACGTTAATAGTCCCAGCTTTGACAGTTACATGATAATAATAGACCGTTAAAAAAAGCATTTATTTGCATGTTTTCCCTATCGGTGTTGTAGATCTTCGTCTTCCCATAAATGTCCTGTTTTTTGTTGTTGTTCCAAACAGGTTCCGATACTCCATTTGTCTTTTGTGTAATATCACTGCAGTTTTGTCATTGCCCAAGCAGGATAAGCAAGTGCTAATCCTGCTTTTGCCTCGGGTGTAGTCAGTCAGTTGATGGTGTAATGCTCATTGAGTTAAATGAAAATCCAGGCAACAGTTACTGCTGATAACTTGTAAACATTTATTGGAGCATTTCTGTTTATTTTACTGTATCGTATTGCACTATTGTTTATTACTATTTTAGTTGCGTGGTTTAGGTATCACTCATCCTGATGATAAACAGATAATTTTCGTAATGTCCAGTTCAGTTAAGTTCATGCCATACGTGATTACACAGTTATGCTTTTGTTGACAGCAGCAGAATGTAATCCAGCAAGGGTGATCTACCTGACCTTATCTTAGAAAACACACTTAAAACGTCTCACATTGTGCTTCAACAGATGAAATCTGGTGTAAAAGTACTTATGTTGGAATAACCATTAAACCAGTTTCTATTGCTGTTGTCTTATTGTTAAAAAATTATATTAATTCCTGGAATCTAAACAAGCATATTTAAGCAGAAGTAGTAGACTTTATTTTACCCGGTATGAGCTCAATGAGACAAGTCCCTCTTGTAAAGGAAACCATGTATACATACAAAAAGATAAATAGAAAATTAGATTAATAAATTAGGTTTATCTCGTTAGATAATCTAACCGTACCAAACGGAGCCACGCATTTGTGTTTGTTCTTCGCTAATGGCGACGATCGTTCACTCCAGGATCCACGTCTCTGCAGAATCTGTGACGTCCGCTGAAGGCGGTGGTGGAGGCGGTAGTGGCAGTGCAGGCGTCTGATCTCCAGCTGGCTCCTCTGAGTAGCCACTGCTGTCCGACTGCACGCTACTTGTTCGCACAAGGTCGGCTTTGGGGCAAATGGACAGGTCGGACGGAGGGACAGAGGTCAGTGTAACCAGGTCACAGCATCATAAACCATGGTCCATTACACTTCATCACTACTGTCATCATAATCAAAATCGCCTTACATTCAACTAATCCTTGACATTAGAAGCTAAGCAGGGTGATGCCTGGGCAGTGTTGGGATGGGTGATCACCAAGGCTATAAGAATTGTGTGAGGCTGCAAGATGACCAGGAGGCGATGTGGAGTCTCACCATCCCCCTTGTTCGCGTGGTGGATTTTCTCCAGGTACACAGGTCTCCTCCCAAAAGAAGCCGAACACCCATTGATGGAATTGGCTAAACAGCCCAATGTGACAGAATCCAAATTGAAAAGGCTTCTTGGAATTGGGCGTGGCTTTTCTGAATAAATGCATGGCATTGTTATTTTAAAAGTAATTTTTTAGACTAATTTTAGTTGACATTGTCCAGTGAAATTCATTTTAGGGGTTTGGTATGACAGGGAGCAATCTTTAAAATGTACGCCATTGACACGAATCTAATAGCGCTCTGAGAATGTATTAGAAAAACATAAAACAAAATTAGACTGCATTTTTTCATTTAACATATAAACAAGTACGTGTATAATTCGCCACTTTCTTTGTGAAACAAATTACATCGAAATGAATTTGCCACTAACCTTCAGCACCGGAACTCCCATCCACACACGCTCCGTGCATGCCCTCTCCATCCTCGCTGCGCACCTGAGCATTACAAGACAACACAGAAGCCATCTCATCATGCCTTCGCACTCGTCACAATCTTCATGCTTATAAATCAAAAATCAACACGAGTATGTCGATGAGCAATAGCAAAACTAAATAATTTGCCTAAATCTGTGCTGTGAAGAAGAGAAAATTGCCCAAAACGTCACCTATTATATTATTTGTATTCTTAAGGGAGTGTTATCACATATGCTCCTGCCATCCCATGTAGAGAACAATAAAACAAATCCAGACATCATTATTTACAGGTTTGATTGGGCAGCACACATCGTTAAAAGGGATAACGGCAAATAGAAGAGACCAGTGATGGAATGGTAGCAAAAGGAGGGAACACGTCTGAGAATAAGACTGCCACAGAGCTGGATCGATGCGATCAGCAAATGAGCAGGCGTGAAATTGAGTGTGGCATCGTGTCACCATAAGGGATGGTGATGGTATGGGACGATTTTCATTCAGTAGTGGATAGCACAAGGCTGATGATAATCATGATGAGCAAACGCAAAAAGCCAACACAAAATTATAATGTTCAAGATGCAAGTTTGTATTTGAGGAGGGTGTGACCTGACCTGGAAAGTGGGAAAAATATTTTAACTTAGAAAATTCACATCTCGGTGACCACTGCAACATTGCCATCTGTAATTCGCAAAGCAATAGACATTAAGCGAACAGCAGAGTTCGTGCGACATTGCATGGACCAGGATTAAAATAATGAAATAAAGAGGCAAGCAATAGCAGGTTGGAATGCTTTGGCAAGATGAAGAAAGAGAGTGGGAATTGCAGGTCGTTTATTTTATCCACCCATTGTGATGAGCATATGACAACTGTAGACACGTTCACGGATGGGCGTTTCAACAAAGGTGCCACCACTGAATGAAAATATATTAGTTTAGGCTTTGCAGTGAATAAAGAATGTCCCCTGGCCAAGGATTTTTTTTCACAATTCCATACATTTATTTATTTGTTGTTTTAAGAAAAGCTCGTTGGATGAGCTTGTCCAGATTTTGTTATTTTTATCCACTTATATTGGATTACAGTGAAGTATTGAGTCAAGAAAAATATAATGGCGTAATCTAAAAGAAAAAGCATTTGTCATTCCACTAATTGCAGAAATGAGTCTTCAACATGTTGGGACTGCACAAATAGCTTTATGGTATTTAAAAATAACCTGCCATAGGAGTATTGTGCACTTAAAAAGCTACTTAAGTCAAGATCTAGATGACATCATGCCTAATGCCACCACACCTTGTCATCATTCCGTCTTCTGCTGGTGTGGCAATCTTTACACCCCGATTCCATTGTCCGCGGCGCATTTACAATGAGTAAACAAATATTGTGTCAATTAGTAGCCACGTATAAGTTATTCCAATACACTTTATTAACCCTGTTATTTTAATAGCAATAATACTGTAATTTGGAACTTGTGGCATTCGCATCATTCTTATAGCGCAGAGCTATAGGAACGATGCTATGTTGCACCGACAAGGAAAGTCTGCCAGTTGCTATGTGGTTTTAGCCAATTAAGTAATTTGTAAATAATGAAAAAAAGGATATCTGAAAAATGTGTAATGCGACACCGGCACACTTGACATACTCTTTTTCCGAACCGAATTTTGAACATCCACCATGAAGCAGACGACGCGCGCTAGTTGTGGTTAACGCACCGACTGCCGCGCCTTCATAAAGCCCAATCCTCCTTTTACTCGAAGCGGAGGTGCCGTTGCCCACTCACCTCGTCCATCTCAAACGAGTCCTTCCGGCACGCGTCGTCGGGCTGCAGGGATTGTGGCAGATGTCCGCCTGGGCACGATGCTCCGCCTGAGTTCGCGTCGTCAGCCCCGTGCGGGGCGCCCGCCGGGCCGCGCTCGTCCGTGTGGCAGCCACCGTCACCATTGCCGTCCCTGCACCGCCAAGCCGCCTCCTTTGGAGGCACCAGAGAAGTCTGTATTCGAGGTGGTACGAGTGGAACGGCTCTCTTGTCGGTCAGACAAGCGTTCTCATCACGGGACAGCTCTTCAAAGTCTTCCATGCCATCGTTTGAATAGTCCTTGCTCTTCTTGTGAAACGGTCTTCCCACTGACATGACCACACACTTTTGGCGGACAAAGCCATCACTTTCTGGCAGTTCTTGAGCATTCACGTATTTTTGGACGTCATCCCTTTTCGTGTATGAATTTAAAGTTGTGCGGTATAAATTTTGTTCACTGGTGGCCTTAGAAAGGCATTCGTTGTGGCCAGTCTTTTGAAAAACCCCTTGCTCTGTGGGAGAAGATTCAGGCGATTCGACGTCGGCCCAAACATCAAGGCTGTGACACCAACTTTGGTTAACGTTGTGTGACGGCACCGTGGGTTCTTCCACCACACTCTGCCAAGAAACGCTCCTCCTAAGCTGCCGAATCAACCAGGCCCTGCCCGAGTGTCTGCCACACCTCCTTTGGTTTGCGACATTATCACCGCAATCTACTTTCTGGCACGGTGATGCTCTCGATTGTGTCGACCCTGGCATTGGCTCCAGTAGAAACTCCCGAGAAGCTGGATTTCCAGCCCCTGCATCCCATTCTGCTAAGCTCATGGTTAAAAAATGAGCTGGTAGTTTGTGTGCATGCTTGAAACGATCTGAGGACACAAAATTAGTTCAAATACTGTTAATGACATAGCTAGTATTTGTGTGAATTGGGTGTCCCTTTAATGACTAAAATCAGCTGTGATGTAGTTGTCATGGCCCAAAACTTTCCAAATTTCATGGCTGTAACCATGAAAAAGGTATATTTAAGTTACAGTGTAATTGCACATGTTAAAATAGTGCTGTACAATGTTGTTAACTGCATGTACTACTGTATTCCCTATGGGAATTTGCCATTGATTCAAGCCTAAGATTTGAATAGAGTAAACCCTTAATATTTGCCCGAGACACATTACTGGACAATGGCGCGAATATTAATACTTACAGCTTATGAGAAAAAAAGGTTAAGGAGGCATGAACATCTATATTTAAACATATCAACTGTATGAATATAAACATAATTAAAATAGCAAATATAAATAAACAACCAAATACATATTACGCAGTTCCTAATTCCAAACGACTGTAAATGAAAGCACTAGCGTGTAAACAGCGCGGCACGGACAACTTTCGCGTGCTACGGCCGCGAATATTTAAATTACAACCCCGCGAATTTAAAATAGCGTTACAATACATATGTTGTAAATAGGCACAATCGGGTGCATATAAACGACCCGCGAATATTAAGGGTAGGCAGTACATTAAAAGGTAAATAATTTCTCCCCAATTAGCCAATTAGAATGTGGGGATTAGAATCATCACATGGCACATCCATAGACCCCCCCCACCCATGCATTCGCATGCACTTATGGTAGCCCCATCTCACCATTGACCACAACTCTGTTCACAGCTACACACAGTATTCATGGATCCCCTGCCCAACGATGTAGCCCTACTATTGACAACTGCATGCACTTTCAATCGGGTAAGAACACTGATTACACTTCATCACACACAGTACAGCATTAATAATTGTTATTCGTATGTGCAATAGATGTGTTGCAGTGTATTCTATTCAATGCAGAAAATCACATGACAAGTACAGTGCATAGGGTTGCCAACGCTTGACCGAAGCCAGTCTGGAAGATGTTTTTACTAATTTAGTTTCTTAATAATATCCTATTTAATATCTCGGATTGCTTTCAGTAGTCACCGGGAGATCGATGCCAATTCTGGTAGAAACTCCTGGCCAATCCGGGAGGGTTGGCAACCCCGACCAGTGCCGGAGAGTGATGCTGAGCAATGCACCCCGAGTTACTGCCACTGCCAGATGGATATACCTTTGAAAATTGCCACGGGGGATATAAAGACAGCACACGAAATGCGTTGTACAAAATCACACATCCTAGCAAGTAGATGTGTGTGGGGAAAACGGTGTCAAACAACGAAAGATGTTTAAAGCATTAAATAGAGTAAAACTGGCAACTGCTGTAC